TGGGTGGGAAAGACGTCTTCCTCTAACAGTGCGTTCTTGGTCTAACAAGTTAAACAAGGTCTCGCCTAGAGGCAGAGACACAGAAGAGCCATCTTCAGTGTATCACAATCAAGTCACCTTTATTTTTTCTAATTCTTTGGTACACTCCCCAAAATGCCCAAAAAGGCAAGGGTTGGGCCAGGTGAAAGTCCAGAGCCCTGGTCTCCCGGAGGGTGGTGCAAGCTGAAGTATGTGAGCCATCACCTGCCGCCTCCCAGGATGTGCATTAGCAAGAAGCTGGAACTGGAAGCGGAGGCGGACTCACACCCAGGCCCTGCAATATGGGAGGCAGGAGTCCCAAGCAGGGTCTTACCACTCCACCAAATGCATGTCCCTTGAGCCCCTTCAGGGTGTTGCCGCCCCAAAGGTGTAGAGCAACTGCCTTGTGCCTGCCACATCAAGTCTAAACTCCTACAGAGACCAGAGATGATCCCTCCATTCTCCTGCCTGTTCCTCTCAACCCAATTCCCCCCCGCAGCCCCTCAGTTCTGGTACTAGAGTCACATACACAAACCTCTTAGGTCTTGGAAGAATTGGGCCAAGCTTCTCATAGTTTCTTTTATTTTTTTAAAGATTTATTTATTTGAAAATCAGAATTACACACAGAGAGAGGAGAGGCAGAGAGAGAGGTCTTCCACCTGATGGTTCACTCCCCAATTGGCCGCAAGGGCCAGAGCTGCGCCAATCCGAAGCCAGGAGCTTCCTCCAGGCCTCCCATGTGGGTGCAGGGGCCCAAGGTCTTGGGCCATCCTCCACTGCTTTCCCAAGCCATAGCATAGAGCTAGACTGGAAGTGCAGCAGCCGGCACTAGAACCGGCGCCCATATGGGATGCCAGCACTTCTAGGCCAGGGCATTAACCTGCCGCACCACAGCACCGGCCCCCTCATAGTTTATCACTTTAAAGACTAGGAAAACATTCACTGTCCTGCTTAGGACGGAAAGCCAAGACACAGTGGCAAATAATGTCCTACATGAAGGACCTCAGTGGGTGAGACTCTAGTGGAAAGAAGTGGTCATCAAAGGAGGTATTTTTCTCTGAAGGGAAGAGAGAACTTCCACTCTGCTTATGGCCTTGTCTAAATACTGACAGAGTCTGTGGATTCAAAAGGCTTCCATAGCCTAGTTGCTCATGTCAAGAGCCTCAGGTGATCACAGACATCATACATAAGAGTGTTAATTGTTAAATTAGCAACGGGGGTCACTGTGCACTAACTCCCCATGCAGGACCTCTGTCCTCAAAGAGTTGTATTATAATTATGTCTAAATGCTTGCAAAAGATGTATCACTCTTGGGTACTTCTTTCAAGTTAAAAAAAAAAAAAAGTGAAATTAACTTCAAGATGCAATGTCTTTGAACAGCCTTTGTGTCAACTGTTGAGGAACAGTTTTATTGTTGTTCTTTTTTTGTTTTGTTTTCGTGTAGTTTTGTTAGTACAGAGTGGGTCTTCTGTGTATAAAGTTAACTGAAAATGGATTTTAGTGGTGAACAGGACTGGGGATGGGAGGAAGGAGGCAGAGGGGTGGGAGAGCAGGTATGGTGGGAAGAACCACGCTATCCCTAAAGTTGTATGTATAAAACCAAGAAGTTTCCTTAAATAAAAGGTTTCTTGGGGGGGGGGGGGGGCAAAAAAAAAAAAAAAAAAAAAAGAGTCCTGCTTAGGGTGCCCTGTGGAGCCCTCATAGGGACACTCTCGGCGGGAATCTGGAGTCCGCGGGTATCTGTGAATGTCCGTATTTGAAACAGCTTCGAGCTGAGGCTGAGGCAACCACTGTGGACACAAGGTGTGGAGACAGATGGATTTTCACCTCCTGAGTTGCTAAGACTGAGAAGATGGCACACCAGCAGCTAGATGTACTTCTTAATATTCTGCAAACCAAGACAGACAAAACCAAATACACCGTGCAAAGACCAGGAGCCTGTGAAGCCACAGGTTAGGTCTGCGTCCTGTGCTAACAATAAGCTATGGCCTTGAAACAAAGACCTGACCGCTCCTCAACGCATACACTTAAGAGGCCACAAGAAGATGGAATTATTTTATTCGTAAGCTTTAATGCACAATGTAATATTAGTAAGTTTCTGCAAAAAGTGCAGAATGAAAATATATACTTCATGTTAAAGAGATATATCTTACTAAGAGGAATCTTGAAAACATACAGATTCTATTAACATTGTGATATATGGACTTGAATCATGAAATAAGCTCATGGAAGCAAATGTCTGTGGATAACTTTAAAAATAATGCAGTGAGAACCTTGTCGTTTAAATTTCTTAAAGAAACAAACAACCAAATTAAAACCTTGTGAGGTCCCTGCTGTGTGATGTCTACGCTCACTGAGGTCGACTTCCAGACTTCTATATTTAAATTGTTCTGAGTATCATAACAGGAAAATCCTCCTACTCAAGTCCAGAGGCACACTCTTCTGAAAGTCTCAGTGCTATCCACTCCATGTAATGACCAACTACTTTCTTCTCAATGCTGCTAAGAGGCAACCTCCAAGGATGTGCTATAAAGCCAATGACAGCACATCTTTGTGCACTAAATGCTCAGAAGCCAGCCTATAAAAAATAAAGTAATGAATTAACAAGTGGCTCTCTAAATACTGGAATTACAGATCAGGAAATAACATCACTTTCAAGTATGAATTTCATGCTGGTGAAGGAACAAAAATTTCAATTCATTAACAATTCTGTTCCTGTAGCTCTGCGAAAGTTCACAGCACATCTGCATTCTCTTAAAGCTTCCTCACCGATGTACTTGCTGAGAAAGGACCAAGAGCCCATTGAAACAGGGATTCTTCAGCGCTGTTTAGGCCAGTTACAGGTGGCTACTCATCCTGGCCTCGCAGCAATTAGCATTACAGATCAAAGCTCAGTCAATGCGGAATAGAGTTTGTGTGGATTCTATGTGGAAGCACAGAAAGAACCCAGTAAGGCAACTCTCAGGTAATTTATGCCTGTCATTTCCTTTGGGGCAAATTCATTTTACAGGCTGTTGGCAAAATAAGAACCTCAAAACTGGCTGGATTTTATTGTTTGTTATTAACTCTTTAAGCAGTAACCCCAGAGCTGTAGTTAATTCAGCCATACTGCTGGTTCAAAAAGGAACTTAATTGGCTTAAGCCAAAGGCATTCCTATAATCAATTGACAGGAAAGAGAGATTAACAGCTATTATGAGGTTGTTCCTGAAGCCAGGAACTAGAAAATCCAGATTAATTATGATAATGACAACCCCTCAAAAGAATAGCTAGTAGGTAGTAGTTTTCACTCTTCACTAACCCTGAAATAAAGCCTCTTTCTTTCCCCTTCACTCATTCTCTTGGGTTGAAACTGTTTTAGTTACTATTACAATAAAAATGCTGCGAGGGGCTGGCATGACGGCACATCAGGAGAAGCCACTGCCTTTGACACCACCATCCCACACTGCAGTGCTGGCTGCAGTCTCGGCTGCTGTTTCCAATCCAGCTCCCTGCTCGTGTGTCTGGGAATGCAGCAGAAGACGGCCCAAGTACTTGGGCCCCTGTCACTCAGGTAGCAGGCCTGCATGCACCTGTGGGCTCCTGGCTTCGGCCCAGTCCAGACTCAACTGCTGCAGCCCTGTGGGAAGTGAACCAGTGGATGAAGATCTCTGTCTCTCTCCTGTCTCTCTCTTTCAAATAAATAAATAAATCTTGAGAGAAAAAGACAGGATATTTATATAGAGGGGAGGGGAGAAGGGGGGAAATGCTGCAGGCAGTGTGGATAATTACTGCTGTGTGTGTTCACAGAATCCTGCTGTCTCAAGCCTGGAAGGATGGTCCAAAGGCAACTGCTGCCACGACCACTCCAAGAACATGCTATTTTGCCCGTCTGTCCACTCAGCGGTGAGGGATGGAACACTGTCCACCCATCAAAGCAGCCACTGCACCTCTGAATGGCTCTCATACAAATGTCTCACTTGGTAAGCTCAAGTCGACCTCACTGCCTCTTCCACCTTCCTGTGCCTCTAAGTCACACAAAACAATTCTGTCCTTCAAACATCTCCAACTACTCTATGCCTTCAAATACTCCTAAGAGTATTTCTTAGTAAGTATTATGAAGTATTTCTCCTAAGAGAAAATGCTATTGAGCTGCTTATGTTGGGCACCAAACTACAAAAACTTTAATTTGAATGTATAATTGTAATTTGAATGAAAATTATTTTTTTCAATTATTTAAGGAATGCAACTTCGTGTATTTAATACAGATTTGGGAACATAAGGATTCTTACCCCTCTACCTCTCTCGCACCCAAACTCCAGCCCTTCTTTGTCCTCCCACTTCCTTGAGCTACCGAAGCATATTAGCCACCAACTGTAAGTCAGATGAGCTGAAGCCCCTGCACAGCACAATCTTCCTTATAAACACACACACTTCTACGCAGACTCAGGACGACCAGACAAAAGCCTACTTTCAGCACTGTTCGACTCATTGCCCTTCGTTGTTCTCAAAGTATGCCTGCCAAAACTCACAGAAAAGTCTATGTGTTAACTAAGAATTTTAATAAACAGTTAAAATATCTTTCTACAAAGTTTTGGAACTTTGCTCTGTAATTTATTTAAAAACCAGGATGAATTATATATTCTCAAGTTACACATCTGATGATTGTACTCTTCCTAACCAGACAAATTAAAGTCACACAAAACAAAAACAAGATTAAAAAAAATAATAATAAAGAAAGAAACCGCTAAAGGTTCTACCCAAAATAAGAAACTGAATGTGAAGGTATTGGGGCCTATGATTTCACAAGATCCAGAGACGAACTAAGCAATCTATTTCAAATCTTCACCTCTCATCTCAGTCAAGCCCCTGTGACATTTCATACACACTTAGCTTATTCCTAGTTCCCACAATATTCAACTGAGTACTTGCTGCACACATTTTGAAAGGCTAACATTATTTGAATTACACTGACAAAACCATTAAACATGAACACACAACTTACCCAAGACTCATGGTATAAAACTGTTAGTAGATATATTGCATAGTCGTAATTCTGTCTCTTTAAAGGACACCTTTATAAGAGAAAGAAAAAAAGACTATAAAACCTCAGTATACACAACAATTTGCAAAATATGCAATATACTATATACAGAATATAAGACTTTCAAGTACTCCTTCTCTGCTCTTGGAAAATTCTGCTCTCAGAATAAGAATGGTTTATAGAGTTCATTATTGAATATATTAAATACTTGTTATTTTTATCTGTATTAGAGTGTTCTTTTGTGTTTGTCACTAATTTGTATGTAACAGCTTTATGCTATTTTTAATGACTGTATCCAATCAAAGTTTCCTTCACCATCTCAGTGCTAAGTACGTGCTAGAAGACAGCATATGAGTTTACTTAAAAAACAGATGACAGAAGGCAATCGAAACGTCAGCCTTTGTCTTCCCTGGGACAATTCGTCTAAGAATGAGCTAAACTACACAATCCTACGCTGCTGCTGCTGCTGCCGCTGCTGCTGCATTTAAAACGGAATAACCTAAGTTAGACTTCGAAACGCTTATGGGATGGCACGTTCATTTTTTAGAGCAATAAAATAAAATACAGAAAAGGAAACAGCTGTTAACATGAAACACACACCCACCATATACACAAAAAGTAGTATTACCAGATACTGAAGAGTTTCAAAGGATAACATCCAAAAGTGGTTTTTAAGTTGCACAAACTAAAAATACAACATCAACCTTACATTTTCTAGTGACAGGGAAGGCCTAACCTAAAGTATTGCAAATCTATTTTGCACTTTCTGCTCTGAACAGAAAGCAGTGGTTCCTAAGCGTCTCTTGCCTCCACCCTGTTGCCGCCTCTGCGTGTGTCATGTTCCTTCTTCCCATCACTAGCAACCACAATGTAAGACCCAGTCAATACTCAGACTTGCACATTCTTTCACACTGGGAAAGGCAAGGTGACAGGACACCTGCCCACTCACTCTTCTCAAAAGCAATGTCTTTTTTTAAGTCTTTTATATCTTGATAATTTAGAAATAACCAAAGTATAATTCTAGAGGAAAAATAACCATCTAGTAAAAACTTACTAATAAGTTCTCTTTACAGCAAACAAAAATTACCTAATTCTTAAATTTATCTATGATAAATTTACAACTGTTTTCACAATCATCTATTCTGGTTCTGAGATTCTTATAAAAATGTCCCAATAAATTTCCCCACATATAATTTAATAATTTTAATTTTGAACTCCCAGATTTTTTTTTACATACTTCAACTTTGTAGAAACCTATTTAAGGGAACACTGAACTCTTTTATAAAATTTTTAAAATTTTATAAAATTTATAAAAATCTGTTTTATAGAATGAGAAGGCTTTTCGTGCCAACAGTTAAAGTGGTGAATGGTGAATATCCCTAAAACCTGTTGAGCCTTCTGTAAGTGTGCCAACCACAGCCCCACATAGTGTCACACAGTAAGGAAGGCAAGGCACTCTGTCTCCCGGGGAAAGCGAAGTTATCGTGGGACAGCAGCGTGGCTATGGCAGACAGACAAAGGCTAACTCTACACAGGAGTCTGCTGAGGCTTGAGTAGGTGCCGCCCCGCTGCACCATCAAGGCAAAGTGGGCTACTAAGAGATGTAAACATTGAAACCTGGGAGGGGGAGACCAGAAGAGGAAGGGCCAAGTGACCTAGTTCTAAGCTTCATCTTCTGTTTTGTTATGACGACAGTAAAATCTGTTCCCTTCCATTTGGTCTTTTGGGAGGGAATAAACCAGAGCCATCAATAAATTTTCTCCTGTGGGGAAATTTCAGGTTCCATGTTTCTGCAGACTACTACTGGCTTCTGCCTGAATCTAGCTGTGCTCACATCAAATGTGGGGATTATTTAATGTAGCCCTGGAAACACTGAGGACTTCCTTGGATCCTATTTCATGCTGAGTGAAGGTTACTGGTTATTATGCGGCATAAGCAGAGGTATAGGCTTTAGGTTAACGTGGGAGGTCATAGTTATTCCGATAATCACGATAATCCCCCATACCTTTGGTGATACTTCATTCAGTAAGGAACTTTGATCCTCTTCAGATTTTCATAGTCCCTTAACAAATAATTTGTATAAAAATACAGGGACCAGCACTGAGGAAAGTGGGTAAAGCCTCTAACTGCAGTGCCCGCATCCCATCTGGGTGCCGGTTCAAGTCCCGGATGCTCCACTTCCAATCCAGTTCTCTGCTATGGCCTGGGAAAGCAGTAGAAGATGGCCCAAGACCTTGGGGTCCTGCACTCACATGGGAGACCCAGAAGAAGCTCCAGGCTTCTGGCTTCGGATCAGCCCAGCTTCAGCTGTTGCGGCCATCTGGGGAATTAACCAGCGGATGGAAGACCTCTCTCTCTCTGCCTTTCAAATACATAAATCTTAAAAAATATATATAATTTATTTCTATCACATTGAAATAACTGCAAATATAATTTCTGATATGTTAAACTTCCGAATTGGGGGTTTGAGCAAATAATGAGATGCTGCTGTGATTCTAAAATCACAAAGCTAATTAAGAAAACAAAAATCCCCCAAAATCCCACCTGTTTAAACAAACCACACTTTTGTCTTCTAGTATTGTCCCCGAGTTTTACATACATGGATGCATCAACATTAGGACTGGCTTAGTAAGCCTCCCTGTACACGTAGAGCTCACCGCAAATGAGGATACTAAAAATACAAACTTGATGATGTCTCCCACCCAGAAAGGGCACCTTCTTTTTTTTTTTTTTTTTTGTAGTATTTTATTTATTTAGTTGAGAAGTAGAGTCATAGACAGAGAGAGGGAAAAACAGAGCAAGGTCTTCCATCTACTGGCTCACTCCCCAAAGAGCCGCAACAGCTGAAGTTGAGCCATCTTCCACTGCTTTCCCAGGCGATTAGCAGAAAGCTGGACTGGAGGAGGAGCAGCAGAGATCTGAATGGGATTTGGTGCCCATTTGGGACGCCAGTATCACAGGCAGAGGCTTAGCCCACTACCTCACAGCACTGACCCCAGGGCAACTTCTTAAAAGAAGCTGCCAGGGGACTGGAGGACAGTGAAGACACACGTGAGACCAGGGTGCTGCGCTGCTCTCTTTTTACCTGTCTGTTCTGATGGTCAGCACATCACTGGTCTTGCAGTATCGTTCTCCTGCAAGTTTAATCAATTTCTTCTTTGCGTGATCATCTAAATTCAAACTGGAAAGTTTAACCTTAAAAAATACAAGAAAAATTATTTGAAAAAAAGTACTTCACACAATTTAATGAAAAAAAAAAAAAAAAGGAGTTATGTTGCTTACATTAACGTTAAACCCACCAGAAAGCAAGCTTTCCAAGCTCCTTCCGTACAGAGGGAGCAGCTGGCACGCACCATGATTGTATCATGGGAGAAAGGGAGGGGAACAGGCTGTTAGTGCTCGGAAAGCTGGGCACTGGAGCCTTTCTTGAAAGAACTAAGACATGTCTCTTCAGTAAATGAAATTACGGTGCTTATGAGCAGCACTAACAGAATTAAACTCAATTAGTGTCAGGAAAGCTGGAATGTAGAAATAAATGCATAAAACTTAAGAGCTTTAAGAATTTCTACTCTGTAATTATGAGACCTGTATCACTCCAACTGGCTTGGGGAGATTTATTCTTTTAAAAGCTACAGTCATCTCAAGGAGGCTGAAATATCACATCGGGGAGGTATCAAAACATCGCTTTTTCTCAAATGTTAACACTATTCTCATAGGTATTCAGGAGAATTATTTAATGTTACATTAAAAAATGTTGAGTTAAGCTGGGTTCTTCATGGTACCATTTCTTAGAGCAGTTAACATACTAATGAGCTTTCTGGAATTTCAAGATCCAGGGTTGGTGTGTAAATGACTGTCAAATTTATTTGACATACGATTTTAGTTTTCAAAGGACATCTCATGGAATCAGTGTTCTTAAGAAACATTGAAAAAAATGAACATACTTGTGAAATATTTTTTCAACTTTATTTATCTGAAAGGCACAGCAAGAGAAGACAGAAAAACTTTCTTCCATAAACTGGTTCACTCTTCAAATGCCCACAACACCCAGGGCTGGGCCAGGCCAAAGCCAGGAACCAGGAGCTCCATCCCTGTCTCCCACATGGGTGGCAGGAACCCATATTTGAGCCATCACCACTGCCTCTCAGGTGCACGTCAGCAGAAAGGAAGATCTGAGTGAAGCCACCTAACGTGATCGTTAGGCAATCCATTATGGGATGCAGGTGTCCTAAGCTGCAGCTTCAGCTGCTACGCCACAGTATCTACCCCTAAACATAGTTTTAAAAAAATGTCTTACAGGGCTGGTGCTGTGGTGTACTAGGCTAAGCCTCCACCTGCAGCACCAGCATCCCATATGGGTGGAGGTTCATGTCTGCCTGCTCTTCTTCTGATCCATTCCCTGCTTATCCATTAAGCAGTACAAGATGGCCCAAGTGTTTGGGCCCCTGCACTCACATGGGAGACCTGGAATAATCTCCTGGCTTCCCATCGGCCCAGCTCTGGTCATTGCGAACCAGTGAATGAAAGATCTTCTCTGTTTCTCCCTCCCTGTCTGTAACTCTGCCTCTCAAATAATAAAATTTCTCTCTCTTTTTTTTTTTTACAGGCAGAGTGGACAGTGAGAAAGAGAGACAGAGAGAAAGGTCTTCCTTTGCCGTTGGTTCACACTCCAATGGCCGCCGCGGCTGGCGCACCGCGCTGATCTGATGGCAGGAGCCAGGTACTTATCCTGGTCTCCCATGGGGTGCAGGGCCCAAGCACTTGGGCCATCCTCCACTGCACTCCCTGGCCACAGCAGAGAGCTGGACTGGAAGAGGAGCAACCGGGACAGAATCCAGCGCTCCAACCAGGACTAGAACCCGGCGTGCCAGCGCCGCAGGCGGAGGATTAGCCTATTGAGCCATGGCGCTGGCCCAATAAAATCTCTTAAAAAAAAAAAAAAAAAAAAAAAAACAAACTTTCATTTATTTTCATCACTTGAAAGGCAGAGTAAGAGAGAAATAGACATACACAAGTATCTTCCAACCACTGGTTCACTCCCACAAATTCCCTCAATAGTCAGGGCTGGGTCACACTGAAGCCAGCAGTCAGGAACTCTATGTGTCTTCCATGTGGGTGGCAGAAGCTCGGGCACTTACCTGCTTTCTTCCAAGGCACGTTAGCACCAAGCTGGACCAACTCCGTGTCCCATAAGAACTAGCTGAATGCTTTTGAAGTCTGCATCCCCAGAGACCTAAGGACCTCCCTTTAAGCTCCACCTCCTGAGGGCCTCACCACCTCTCAACACAGCCACACTTAGGACCAACCTCCCAACAAGTGAACACTTGGGGGAACGAACTCCAACCATACCCGAACCACAGCAACCATATAGTCATTTCCCATGGAAAGCACTAAGATCAACAAAGAGGTGTAACTGCATGAGAAACAGAGGCTCAAGGGCACTGTGCAGTCTCACACAGTTCTGTCACTTCAATAACCCTGCACGGCCCTCAAGACACCACACGGCAGCAGCCCACTCATCTTCTCATTTTTTCCACTGAAAATGCATTCCCTTGAGAAGCAAGCATGACACCTATTTTGTTATTGGCAATGGCCTATGACTTAAAAAGCATGCCACACTCACTTGCTGAATGAATATGCACAAAGTTTTCATAGGGAGAATATACTGTTTTTTTAAGCACTGTGATATTTTTCAAAAATCTGAACTCAAGAAAATATAAATAAGCACACTTTAAAAAAAAACTAGACTAGTAAAATATGAACTAGGAGGGATCAAGCCAATCCAGTGTTCACACATGGCAAACAGTGTGAACTGCCACAGACCTCTGGGACAAACATGTATCAACCACCAGGTTATCAGCTTCACGGACAAAACAACCCACTTATGGTAGCTGATAACAATGTGGAGAATGACTTATAAGAAAATAAAATGTGCCTACATTATAATCATGCATATATATGCACATACACATGAACACAGAGATGAAATATACAGAAAAATGAACAGTTTTTATAATACATTAAGAAGGTAGTAATTTTACAATTTCCTTCAATGAAATTCTAATAATGTTTAACAATACATTAAAAAATATTTAAAATGTAAGTATTTTAGTTTTTTGCATATAAAGTGGTCCAAAAAACTGGCAGCGATGTCATTCATTATTGCAACAACTGCTGCAAAACTCAAATCACATCAATAGTTTAATGTTCAAAAATCTATACCGAGTTTATGTTAAAACTCATAAATATTTCAGGAACAGTTAGGTGGTACACTCACGCCACCTGCTAGCACTCAAAGGCACTGCAAAACTGTTAGTCAAACCTAGATTAATACTTGAACTTCCAGCTAAATGAGATTTTCTGCCTTTCACAACATTAAAAGAATCGTGACATCTTTTTTTTCAAGCTGGTATTTTTCAAAAAGATTATTCTCAAAATAACATCAATATTTCAAATCACAGTAAGCTGAGTTCATAAGTATCTTTAAATGCCTGTATTTAACAAAAAAGGAGGTACATACATTGAGTACTGTGTCTAAATACGTGAAACACTCTCTACAAACAAGGATGGTGCAAGGGGTTAGAGTGCTCTATCAGATGTAATATTGAGAATAACAATAGAGAATAACATTTGTATATTTTCTAAAATAACTTCTAAAAGGAGAACTATCATGTCAAAGGATTTAACTCTTTTTGGAAACTGTGAAAAAGAGTAGCTCTGTGAGAAAGCCTGTGTTCCTATGTACTCAGGAACTTAGATATTATTACAAATCAACTTGATAGGTAAACACTTTATCCTACACTTAAAATTTGCATGTCATTGAATATTATTCAGGTTGATAATTTGTTCCTTTTAATAATGCTTATTTTATTTAATAATGCTTATTTGATAACTGATTTCTTATATATATACTGATTTCTTATGTATTTGTTTCTTTTTAATACAACTTTATTGATACATAATTACATACTACAGAATTCACCCTTTGAAAATGTGCAATTCAGTGGTTTTTCATATATTCTGACTTGTGTCACTGGCGCCACTATCTGATCCAAGAGATGCTTATCACCATAAAAAAAGTCCTGTTAATGGTCACTCCTTATCCCTCTCCAGTTACCTCTGAGTCCCGTCCACCACCAGCCCACTTCTGTCTAGGAATTCGCCTTGTATCTTAGAGAAATGTGGGATTCTTCTATATGAAAGACTTGTCCCTTCTCCCTCATTTATTTCTTTGTTCACTTATTTATGCAAGCATGGGCATTTATTTTATATCTGGATATAATTCCATGATACATTATTTATTTTTTGCTCACACTGTTCCAGCCCCGGTAACTGGGTCTCTTACTTGGCCCATCTGCTCCTCTGCCATGCCACCATCTTTGGTTTTTAAACATTTCCTTATTTTCTGGCCTTTATAAAATGTTCCAAGCCCTTCTTACATATGCTCTGTTCTAGTCCTGGAATCTCCAAGGTGCACTTTTGAGTCATTTGAAGGGTAACGGCAAAATTCTTTGACGTACTTCCTAGGATCCCCAGAAGATTAACTTTTGTGTACTACTGTAACCTGTGTTTTAAGCAAGAACACTGTAAATGGCCTGCAAAAATGTGTTGAAAATTTGTGCAGCCATTTTTACATATTTGCTGACAAATTAACCAAAGAGTTTTTATCCATTTTCTGATATAGCTGATTAATTTATAATTTGCTTTCTTTGTTGGGTTTACAGATGAAAGTTGTGCCATGTTTATGAAATGAATTCACAAAGCTTTAAAGCTTCTTTTTATCCCATAGGATTGTTTAAACAGCATAGTTATATATGTATATGTTTTTAGACTGGAAATATTTTCAAACTACAAAAGATGATCCACCTTTACTATAAAACACTTAGAAAACATAGAGGCCAGCACTATGGTGTAGTAGGCTAAGCCTCCACCTGTGGCGCCAAAATCCCATGTGGTTGCCCATTCGAGTCCTGGCTGCTCCACTTCCCATCCAGCTCCTTGCTGATGGTCTTCCTGGCTTCTGGCTCCTAGCTTCAGCTTGGCCCAGCTCTGTCTGTTGTGGCCATTTGGGGATTGAACCAGTAGTTGGAAGACCCACCCAGCCACCCACCCACCTCCCCTACTCCCCCCGCCTCTGCCTCTCTGTAATTCTGCCTTTCAAATAAATAAATCTTAAAAAAAGACAAGATCCAAAGCCAGTAGCCAGGACCTTCTTCCATGTCTCCACATGGGTTCAGAGGCCTGAGCACTCAGGCCATCTTCCACTGCTTTCCCAGACCAAGCTGCACGGATCCATAGCCAGGAGCTTCTTCTGGGCCTCCCACGTGGGTGCAGGAGCCCAAGGACTTGGGCCATCTTCTACTGGTTTCCCAGGCCATTGCAGAGAGCTGGATTGGAAGTGGAGCTGCTGGGACTCAAACCAGCGCCCATATGTGATGCTGGCACTGTAGGTGGCAGTTTAATCGGCTATGCCACAGCGCCAGCCCCAAAATGGACCAAACATTTATGGTCACTCTACATTAGGGAATTATCTGCTTGTATTTCCCATTTCAGTGTCAGAAAAAGGGCTATGTCTGAACTGATCAACAATGTACCACCTGCCACAAATAACATCACATATTGTAATAGACCAACATTTATCTATTTCGTAGCTATTAAGAATTAAAGAATGCTTAATAATAATGGAAAATGCTTATACCACATGAAAAAGAAAATATTACTGAGTACATTTAGTTATCACCATTAAAAAAATAAAGCAGCTAGCTGTAAATACAATAAAAAGAGCTACTGCAGTTCACATTGGCTAGGCACAGAATTATGGACAATTTTATAATTTAAAACTTTTATTATATTTTTCATTCTCTTCGGTAAATACTAGTTTTCTAGTCACACATTCACAATGCATTTCTAAATAACGTATTATAATGATTTAATTTAAAACAATCTCGAGAGTGGGCATTGAGCACTGCAGTTTCAGTTACTGCTTGGCACTCCTGCACCCCACAGCCGAGTGCGTGGTTTGAATCTCAGCTACTCTACTTCCAAGGCAGCTTCTGACAACATATGTCCTGGGAGGCAGTGGCTGATGACGTAAGCGCGTGGGTCCCTGCCACCCACTTGGGACACTCAGGTTGAATTCCTGGATCCTGGCTTAAGCTTGTCCCACCTCTGGCTATTGCAGCCATTTGGGAATTGAACCAGTGGACGGAAGATCTCTCTCTCTTTCAAAACAAATGAAAAATAAGTAAAAAACAAATCTCTTACCCTTAAGGTTACTGTTCGTGCCTTGGGGTTGCGAATGGACGGTCCTGATGAAACGTAGGCAGCTGTGTCAATTTCAATTGGAAAATGCTTCTCACATTTCTCATCAGTGTCAAGTGCGGCTGGCCACTCCGTGCAGAAATCTGAGAGGTTAAAAAACTACCTCAATTATGGTTCTGCAAATATATTCTCAATTGTAATCCATGCTACCAAACACCAAATTAGTAAGCTGTCTCAGGACATACAACATGGAAGAACAGATGCTCTTCTGAATTTTACATCATCACCCCTCATCCTTTTCTTAGCTGGTACTTCCTAATCAGGAGTCTAATTAAGGGAATGATTTGAATATTGCAGATGTGATGGGAAGCAGGGTGTTCAGTGACGAGCCTATTACAGCTTCGCACATATGTGCTTCCTTTCCAACTAAAAGCAAACAGTTCACACACCAGAGCACTGTTTTTTAAAAAAGCAACAGATAACGTTAATTCATTGTCAGATGAAGATGACTGATGATCAGCTGGTAGGAACTGAAAGCAGCCCTGAAAAAGCTGTGAAGAGGGAACTGAAATGCGGTCAGCTACCTTCCAGAAACTGAGCCAAGTCAAGTTTCAATTCAAACAGGCAAACAAGACGAGACCCCCACTTAGTGGGATTCTCACAGTTAACTCACGTTCCCTCTGTGTGCCCTCTCTATGCCGACGGGGTCCACTGGCCCGAGGAACAGCCCTGTCCTCCTGGTTGGCCAAGACAGCCTCCAGAGGAGGTGGGCCTGGGTCTGAGACCTCAGCCACAACAGAAGTTCCCAACACCATGGACACAGCTGTCTGTCCATCTGCACAGCACAACTGGAGGGGGTAAAAAAGTACCTTAAACTACAAGCAGTAGCACCCAACCTCCTACAGCTACCCATAGCTGATTTCATCTCGTCCCATTCCTAGCAAGTTAGTGTAGTGTGGGATGAAAACCAGCACCATCAGGCTGCTCCCAATGGAAATTTCATTACTCAAATGGCATCACACATAGGAAGAGCTCAAAGCAACGGTCTTCTTAAGGTGAAACATGTTAGATGGCAGGGATCCATGCTTCCTCCAGAAACACAGGGCTGCAGGAGACTGGTTGTAATTACAGGCGGATGTGGGAGTTCTTCAGGGTGATAACCTAAAGGATACTGAGAGCTAGTTCGCCAAAATATTTTCCCAAATAGACAGCTTTCCTGTGGTAGTCACTACATTTAGCCCCTATTTAGGCTTTAAAATCAGAGTTAGCAAATATCACTGTAAGTTACAAAGACTCTCTGATACCTGGGACTAAATGTACTCTAGCAAATTAAGAATAACTTGCACCATTCCCTAAACACCTGCTTGAAAGATCAATTCTAAGTCACTTTGAAGGAAGAGAAGTATCTCTGCAATTAAGAACATTTTGACATTAAAAAAAAAAGAACAGAGCAAGTGAGTTGAGTTTTATTCCCAGAATGGATTGATTCCAACATCCTGTACTACACAAGAGGCATTACTATCAGGCACCTTCTCAGGCACCTTCTCAGACGACTTTGGAGAATTACATGAGCTTTTGGGTTTGCACCAAATCTTTTTTTTTTTTCCAACTGTGAATAAGTCATTTCAATCACCAGATGATAATTACAGTTTTTAAATTAAATTACTTAAATTACATGTCTAAAAAACACAGCCAGCTGGAAAGTACATAATAGACTCCTATTAGGTTTACTCATCTGATAGGTAAAGACCAGACTTTGAAAGACCTTGGTTTTTATTTAACTTCTGCCACTGATTATTAAAGTTTTGGTAAATTACCTAACTTTCCTGCATTTCACTTTTTCCATTTGCAAGTTAGATATAAAATCTGAACTGACCTACTTTGGAAGAAAACCGGGAAGAAATATTTGAAAAGCCTTTGAGTTATTTGGAAGGTGCAATCGAAATCCAGAGCCTGGCAGAAGTGTCAAAGCCTAATTAAGGAAAGATTAAACTGCTCCTTCAAGCACAGTAAAACACACTGCTACTCTTCTGAACATGCTATATAAAAGGCTTTCACTACAAATCAGGATGTAGTACAGAAATATTTCATGAAAGTTATTAGTTTCATTAGCTAACAATAGTATCTGAAAAGAAAAATTAAACTGATCACATTGTACAGAAACACATTTGTTAACCAGCTTTCTAAAGCATCAAAACAGAACATGTCATTTATGGCAAACGGTGCACAAATTTGGAATAGTGATCAGTTTTAGTCCAATTCCAGGCACGGATGAACACAGAAACACAACCTCTGGGGACAAAAAAGCATTCTCATGCTTAATGTAGCAGAGGTCTACATAAACAAAACCGGTTTTTGTTCCCTCATTTCAAGTGTAAGGTTGTTATTCCTAGGTTGTAGGACCTTTTTATATCTTTTGTATTTTTTTGAATGGAAAGTACTCCCAAAGCTCAAGTTTAATAATAATTATGTTTGCTGTGCTATTTCTCCTTCTAACACAATCAGACTACCTGTGAAGCGTTTCTAGGTTTCATTTTTTCCCCCTATCAAGTCTTAGCAAGTATTCTGACCTCTCTTCCTGCCCCCACCCCTTCTTTTCCCCAAAGACAGAGGGAGAGAACCCACTCACTGGTTCCCTTCCCAAATGTCCCCAACAGGCCAGGCTGCATATCTTATGTGGGCAGCAGGGACCCAACTACTTGGATCACCTACTGTCTAGAGCCAGGACTCAAACTCAAGAACTCTAACATGGAATGCAGGCATCCCAAAAGGCAACCTGACATACCAAATGCCAATTCCTTTTCCTACATCTTCGTGAATGTGCTGGCTGTAGTTCAACAGTGAGTCTCGAACCCACCTGAGAGGCAGGATTATGGTTTCTACTTCCATTATTATTGATAATTTCCTATAGGGCAGCTAGCAAAAAAAAAATACATACATAAAAATTTATAAAAATTTCAGATATACTTGAGTTCAAGTCCTGCCTCCATTTCCCATTCAGCTTCTTGTTAACATACACCATGGTGGGCAGCAGATGATGGCTCAAGTGCTTGGGTCACTGCCATCCCATAGGACACCCAGACAGAGTTCCAAGTGCCTGCTTTTGGTCTGGCCCACTTCCAGCTGTTGTGGGCATTTGGCAAGTGAACCAAAGGAGGGAAAATCTCTGTCATACTGCCTTTCAAATCAAAGCAGTAAACATTTTTTAAAAGAGAAAAAGAACCAATGATGACTCAGGATATAAGGCTGCATGGCACATTAGAATTGAGATTATTTTCTTTTTTTTTTTTTTTATTTGACGAGCAGTTACAGACAGTGAGAGAGAGAGACAGACAGAAAGGTCTTCTTCTGTTGGTTCACTCCCCAAATGGCCGCCACAGCCAGCGCTGCGCCGATCCGAAGCCAGGAGCCAGGTGCCCCGTCCTGGTCTCCCATGGGGTGCAGGGCCCAAGCACTTGGGCCATCCTCCACTGCCCTCCCGGGCCTCAGCAGAGCTGGACTGGAAGAGGAGCAACTGGGACTAGAAGCCGGTGCCACAGGCAGAGGATTAACCAAGTGAGCCACGGTGCTGGCCACAGAATTGAGATTCCTAATGTTATGTTCAAAGGCTACCCAAAGTTTATGGAGGAAAACAGTCACGTTTTGTACCTTTAAGAACTTCACAGTGCTTTTTAATCGCTACAGGAGTCAAATGCAGAAAATTGGGGATCTAAAATAGAAAATTTAAACAAACATTTTAAAAGCATGAAAAAAAATCGTTTTCATAAAAGTACATCACAAGCACAAAAAAACCAAGAATAAAATCTGACAGTTTTTTTTTACAATACTAATTCTATGTTAGAGTAGCCTGTTATCAATCTCAAGAAACAAATGCCTTAAAATACAAATTCAGTATCAAGTACTAAGTGATGCTGACACCCTAGACTATCTTCAGACTGTATAACCCTTTTGCTAAGGGGCCAGAGCTGTGGTGCAGTGGGCTAAGCCTCCTCCTGCAATGCCAGCATTCCATACGGGTGCCAGTTCGTATCCCAGCTGCTCCTCCTCCAGGGATCCAGCTCTCTGTTTATGGCTTGGGAAAGCAGTGAAGACGGTCCAGGTGCTTAGGCCTTGGCACCAGTGTGGAAGACCCACTCCTGGCTCCTAACAGGCCCAGCTCCAGCCGTTGCAGCCATTTAGGGAGTGAACCAGTGGATGGAAGACCTGTGTCTCCTTCTGTCCATAATACCACCTCTCAAACAAATAAATAAAAATCTTAAAAAAACCCAAAACCCTTTAGCTCTGACAAGGATCTCACAAGAGCACAGCTGTTCTAAGTATTCTTTCTGCCATGAATCTACAGACGTACAAGCAAATGTTCCTTATAAAACTGTGAGACAGGCACTGCTGTAAGCACTCATATATTAGGTTAATAAGCTTATTTAGTGTCAACATCCCTAGGGACAGATGGCATGCATTAACTGCAAGCATGTTTACGTGTATTAAAATATTCACAGCCATTAGCTTTATTACAAATCCACTGGTACTGTCCCCAACCCAGTGACATTTTCTCAAGAACTTCATTTTAAATTAGGTTCCCTTTTCACTCTGAAAAGCAATGCGTTTTCCTCCACGTTTGCTTTCTTACATCTCTTGAAATGTTTCCAGTTCCAAATTTCATTTACTTGTCTCCAGCAGCAGAGAACCCCTTTCTCCCTGTTTGCATCTCAGTTTTTATCACCTTTTAGCAAATTTTCCATTTCATTTTTAAAAATTTATTTATTCTCATTTTCCTTAAAATGTAGAAAAAGAAAGACCAGCAGATGCTAAGGGAGAAAAAAAGTATATTCCATCTGCTGGTTGACTGCCCACACGCCCAGAACAGTTGGGGCCAGGCCAGGTCAAAGCCAAGAACCAAGAACTCCATCCAGGTTTCCCATTTGGGTTGCAGGAATCCAGATACTTGAGCCGTCACCTGCTGCCTCCCAGGGTCTACACTAGCAGGAATGCTGTATCAGAAGTAGAGGATCCAGGATTCCAATTAAGCACTCCAATACAGGACATGGGCATCCCAAGCAGCACTGGACAAAATACTCGCCCTTTTTTGTTTCCCAAAAACTCTTATCTAGTGGAAATAGTTTTCCATTGTACAACAACTTGCACTGTGCATAAAAGAAAACCATATAAGATAGATATTTTCAGACTAAACATTTATATTGTCTTTTAAAAAACCCCTACAGCTCATAAGTCATTACAGATGCTATCAAAGGAAGCATTTAATATGACCCATTTTGCTTGTAAGAAGAAAGAAACTAAAGTTGGTGTACCAGAACCAAAACAGTAAATCTTTCTAGAAAGAAAGTATCTAAGTTCCTTTATTAAAAGTCCATACCTGCCAATTCAAGTTCCTCTTGAAAGTACAATACAGAAAAGACACAAAATAGAAGATCTTATTTCTTTCCCAAGCACATTAATAGGGAGCTGGACTGGAAGTGGAGCAGCCAGCACTTGAACTGGCACTTGGACAGGGATGCCAGCATTGCAGGCCATGGCTTAACCTGCTATGCCACGATGCTGGCACTTAATTATAGTTCTTCAACGCTGAGGATTCAGTCTTTACCATGGATAATCAAGATACAACATCCGTTACGCCCTTGGAAACTTTTCAAGTTAAAATCTGACAATTCACTCCTGAACCTCAGGGAAAAGGGGACGCAGATGGAGGCAGCATCAGCGTTCACTCAGGTCTAGTCTGAGCCACGAGGCAGCACGTTGCTTACCTTCAGAAGTTCTAGATTGCCCTCCTTTGCCATGGGCACACCCTTTTTCACTGGATAACCCATGCGAACAGGAAGAGGGACTACAGAGGGCTTAAACGGCGCTGCAACGGGGTACACGCTGGGCCAGTCCTGGTCAACAGCCATTTTCTCTGTCCTAGGAGGCAGTGCCTAAGAAACACAAAACAGTGCAAATATGAACACACTCTTTAATTTCAAAGGAAGAAGCTGCAGTTGTGAGAAGCAAGCAGAGCCGCGACCTCCATGAAGGCTGGCCTCTCACGAAGCACTGCAGTTAAAGACAGCACCAAACCGGCCTGAGCATCTCGGCAGCGCTCCCCAGCTCTAAGAACCCCCTTACTTCCACATTCCCTTTACTACAGTGTTCTCTGAATCTAGTTCATTACATTTTTGGCAACATTTTTTACATTCTGTTGGTGAAGGGATGGGTTAACAGTATGTTCTGGATCTATTTCACATCAGAACTTCTGAATCATTAAAATACTACACAGGAGGACTCACGGACTGTTTACCTTTCTCCTCTGTGCCCTCTGACTTCTGGATGTTCTTTGTGTTGTATCTAAAAGACAGTAAAACAGGAACTGAGAATTTAATAACACGGACTTGTTCAACACCAACTATGATCCCATAACTCTAACACATTTCCCAAAAATAAACAGTAACACATTTTCTTCACAATGAGAGACAAAAATCATCTTTCAGCACTGTGGCATAGTAAGTTAAGCCTCTGCCTGAGGCGCTGGCATCCCACACAGGTGCTGGTTCGAGTCCCAGCTGCTCCATTTCCAATCCAGCTAACCGTCTGGGAAAACAGTAGAAGGCAGCCCAAGTGCTTGGGGCCCTGCACCAGTGTGGGAAACCTAGAGGAAACCCTTGGCTTCTGACTTCATATCGGCTCAGCTCTGGACATTGCAGCCATTTGGGAAGTGAACCAGCAGACGACTTCTCTCTAACTATGCCTTTCAAATAAATAAATGAATCTCTTTAAAAAAAAAAAAAAAAAGGCAAAAAGTCAAAACTAACTAAAGGACCAGCATTATTGTACAGCAGGTTAAGCCACTGCTTCCAATATCAGCATTCCATATTGGAGTCCCAGTGCAAGTCCCAGCGGCTATGCTTCTGATCCAGTAACCTGCTAATGCACCTCGGGAAGCAGCAGGCGATGGCCCAAGTGCTTGGACCCTGCCACCCATGTGAGAGACCTGGATGAAGTTCCCCTCCCTGGCTTTGGCTTGGCCCACACCTGGCTGTTGTAACCATTTGGGAAGTAGACTAGCGGATCGACGATCTCTTTCTCTACTCCTCTTTCAAATAAAAAATATTAAAAGAGATATTTAAGAAAATTCTATAATTGAATAAACAGTTTACTTTATGTGCTATTTTTTATTTTTTATGATTTTTATATGATTTATTTTTTACATGATCTTTATACGATTAGTAAACTAATCATCTAAAGAAATCTTTAGAAGTATTTATTTAATTCAAAGTCAGACTTACAGAGAGAGGAAGAGAGAAAAAGAGATCTTCCATCCTCTGGTTAACTCCCCAGATGACCACAAGAGCCAGGGCTGGGCAGGCCAAAGCCACAAGCATGCAACTCCAACCAAGTCTCCCACATGGATGGCAGGGGCCCAACTTACATGGGCTATCCTCCATGCTTTCCCAGGTACACTAGCAGGGAGCTAGACTGGAAGCAGAGCAGCTGGGAACTAAAACAGCACTAACACCCAGGCAGCTGCCAGCCCACTGTACCATGACACTGGCCCCTAAAGAAATATTTTCAATAAAATATTAAGGTTCAAGTGTGGTATAGCTGTTTAAGCTGCTGCTTGGGACATATGCATCCTATTTAGAATGTCTGGTTCAAATCTTGACTACTCCACTTCCAATTCATCTTACTGCTAATGCACCTGGAAGACAACAGATTTAACCTCAAGTACTTGGGCCTCTGCCACCCATGTGGTGACCGAATGAAGTTCCTGGCTTGGGGATTTGGCTTGGCCTAGCCCTGGCTGTTTTAGGCATTCGGGCAATGAACCAGAGGATGGAGGATATCTTTATCTTTCTCTCTCTCTCTCTCTGCTTTTCAAATAAATTTTAAAAAATAAGTTAAGGTTCACAGCAAAATAAACTCATTTTCTCAAGTTAAAATATCCCATTCGATATATTCTGCATCTTCCAAGATTAGTTTTGAAATGTTCTAATTATAAATATACCCTTTCATATTTAACAAACTGTCAAAAACATTTTAGTTTTTCCTTCTCTGTTGTATGTAAGAACTGCCAATGTTCACACCAATAACAAAAATCACAGCCACTCCTAACAAGTCATATGACTGAAGAAGAGACCAGATTACTAATACACAGTAAATACCTTTTAAAATATTATCTCGGGGCCAGCACTGTGGCAGAGCAAGTAAAGCCGTCACCTGCAGTGCTGGCATCCCATGTGGGTGCCGGTTGGAGTCCCGGCTGCTCCACTTCTTATCCAGCTCTCTGCTATGGCCTGGGAAACCAGCAGAGGATGGCCCAAGCCCTTGGGCCCCTAAACCTTCATGGGAGACCCAGAAGAGGCTCCTGGCCTCCGGTTTCCGATTGGCACAGCTCTGGCCATTGCAGCAATTTGGGGAACGAACCAGAAGATGGAAGACTCATTTCTCTCTCTGCCTCTACCTCTGACTTTCAAACAAACAAATAAATCTTTAAAAATAAATAAATCTTAATCTGTAACTCTGCTTTTCAAGTCAATAAATAAATCTTTAAAACAATATTTCCTCATGATTCTCCAAATAATGCGGCAGAGTAAAATAATAGCTCTAAGGATGCCTGCACTTCCACATGCAGGTACTATGCTAAATATATCTCATCATCTCATTAAAAATAAGATTTACTCATTTGAAAATCAGTGTTACAGAAAGGGAGAGATCTCCCATCCACTGGTTCACTTCCCAGATGTCCACAAAGGCCAGGGCTAGACCAGGCCAAAGCCAGGAGCTAAGAGCTTCTTCCAGATCTCCCTCGTGGGTATCAGGGGCTCAAGCACTTGGACCACCTTCTGCTGCTTTCCCAGACCATTAGCAGAGAGCTGGATCAGAAATGGAACTGATGCCAACTGGTGCCATATGGGATGCCGGTGTTGTAGGCGGCAGTTCTACCCACTATGCCACGATGTCAGCCCTCATTTAAAGCAGAGAAAAATCTCACATTAAGCAGCAGTCTCACTTTGCTATAAAATATTGGGAAAGATGCCTTTATCTGTGTATATTTCTGTCTTTCACTACTGTAGACACTCTGAGTGGTCTGTAACACGAAAATATTTGGAAATGTCGGAGCAAGTCAAGGACTAGGGAGCAAGGGGTTAAATTGATATCCACACAGCAAAGTCAAGATCAGACTCTGAACCTCCAGTCTGTCTACTTCCTTTACACGGAAGGCTCCACAGCTACAACCAACTTCCAGCACCCTGCCCTTCAGTCTTCCTCGGATTTCCTGTCCCTCCGCTGGGAACATACTTCCCCTCCATCGGCCTGGTTCCTGTCCCTTTCTCCTCCTCCCAACTCCTCCTCTGACAAATCCCTGTGCATCCCACAACGCTCACTCATTCATTCAAAAACAGTGATACCGCGTATTAGAAACTAGGGATCAATCAGTCCTTGCCCCCACAGAATGCAGCCTGTCCAATCACACAACTTTTGAACAAGTCATTTCAATAAACAGTATCACAGAGAGCAGGGAACTGAACATTTCTTTTAGCTGGTGTGACAGTCAACCTTGAGTGTCAACTTGCCTGGATTTGGGGATGCCCTGGGCGCTGGGAACACGTCATGTCTGGGTGCATCTGTGAGGTGTTTCCAGAGGAGACTGGCAAGTGCGTGGCTGGACCAAGTGGGCAAGACGCTCCCCCAACGAGGGCGGGCACCACCCAGGAGGCCGAGGCCCCTAACAGAACAAAAAGGCAGAGGAAAGGCGACTGCACGCTCTCTCCCGGAGCTGGGACACGCCTCTCCTCCTGCCTCAGACATCAGAACCTGGTTTCTCCAGCCTTTGGACCTGGGGACTGGCACCAGCACTGGAGTCACACTGCCATACTCACGTCTGATTCGTCTCTCTGGAGAACCCAAACACAGCTAGGGAAACCTCTGTGAAGGAGTGAATCTTGAGCCGACACCTGAAGAATGAGCAAGAGGTACCCACAGAAGACAGGCAAGGGAGAAAGTTCTCAGGGCACAAGAGAGCATGGAAAAGCAAAGGCCATGTGTGAATTCAACATGGCTAAAATTGAAAACAAGGAAAGAGGGGCAGGCAGCACACTTCCTAACCGGGAGTTCGCCGGCAGGGCTCTGGTTTCCTTCCTCGACTCCTCCCAGTCCCTGGACACAGCACAGCTCTGCACCCGCTGCTCAGGATAAAATCTAACAGGCATTCTTGGGGTTGGTCCTAGTCTCACACCAAATCCCTGGGTAAATCCTAACAGAGACACCTTCAAGTATGTCCCTGTCCAGCCACACTACCTTCTTCACTCTTACCCCCATCCAAGTCACCATCGTCTCACTGGACCACTGCAACAGCCCCCAGACAGGTCCCTGGCCTTCCCCCACCCCGTACCCCGACAATCAGTGCTCCACACAGCAGCTACCCATCTTTTAAAAGTCTAATTCACAGTCTACTACTTTCCTGCTCAAAGCCTCCCCAGGTGATCCTAAACTCACAATAAAACCTGAGCCCAAAGCCAAGGCAGAATGCCTAGGAGCCTGACAAGGGCAGGCCATTACTGAACTCCCTGATGTCCCGCGCCATCCACGCTCCCCTGTGCTCACTTGGCTCCATTCAGCTCAGCCTTCTGTCTGTTCTGGGCTCCCGAATCTCACCTTGAGGCCTTGGAGCTTCCAGGGCCCTGCACTGACAATGCCTTCCCTAACCATGGCTCTGGCCTCTCAAACCTCCCTTACTCCAAGAGGTCACTCTGACTACCATTCAGCCCACCCAGTCTCTGACCCTCACTAAACACTACCTGGCATTTACTTAGTTGTTTACTTGTTTATACTCTGATTTCCCCAAAACAATGCAAACTTCACCAGGTCAGGGACCTTGTTGTATCCCCTAACGCACTGCCTACCGCACATGAGCAGGTATATTTCCGAGGGCTGGCGCTGTGGCACAGTGGGCTAAGCCTCCACCTTCAGTGCCAGACTCTCATATGGGCACCGGCTCATGTCCCAGCTGCTCCTCTTCCAATCCAGCTCTCTGCTATGGCCTGGGAGAGCAGAAGATCGCCCAAGTGCTTGGGACACTGAACCCACGTGGGAGCCCTGGAAGAAGCTCCTAGCTTCAGATCGGCTCAGCTCTGGCTGTTGTGGCCATCTGGGAGTGAACCAGTGCATGGAAGATCTCCCTCTTTCCCTTTCTGTCTCTAACGCTCTCTCTCAAATAAATAATAAATTGAAATCTCTAAAAAAATATATGAACGAAAAACGTAAAATAGGCAAGTGTTAAGACCATGAAGAGCCACGATGATGCATTAAAGAATTTATAACGCATTGTCAAGTAACAGGAAGCCAGTTGCAGACTGTGAGCAAGGCAGCGGGGCAAGGCCAGATGCGCACTTTGAACACTTCACTCTGGCTGCGGAGAATTCAGAGAGCAGTAACCGCAGCTGTCAGCAGTGCGCAAGGGGCAGCAGCGGAGCCACCTGGGGTAGTCCTGCTGCCTCAGCACCTGCAGGTGACTCTGGCTCCGAAGATCAGCACGGGCCAAGGCTGACCTGGATGACCTACACCAAATGACACGCCTACCAGCAGCGGTGATGGGCGACACGGCCCCCCATCAGGACTGAGAGGGCGAAACCACGCATACTCCTCCCCCTTATTAGAATGGACCTCCCCTTTCACGAAACGACCCCAGAGACCCTGAACACCGAGCAGAGACCCGGCCGCTGCCCTCCGAGCAGCTGAGTCTTGGCTTTCTCAAGGCTACTGTTATTCCTGAATTCTTTCTGGAAGCCCAGTCAAGGGCGTGGGGGACCGCGCAGCCCCTGCTGTCCGGCGCCGGAAGGAACGAAGTAGATGACAGCGATGCAGGAGGCAGGCGGATGGCCCCGGGGGACAGGACCCCCTCGGCCACTGCTGTCCCCTCCTCACTCCCCCGTCCCTCCATCCTCACTTCCACACGGCGTCTCTCGCACCACGAGTGCTTCTCCCTTGCTAAGCCCGCCTCTGCCGCCAGGTTCCTCCAGCGCCAGGGCGCCATGCACACCCCCACGGCCCCTGCCCCGTGAAGGTCACCTCAGCTCCGTCCGCAGACCCGGAGTCCCCATATGCTGGCCTGCAACTCACAGCCGCAGTCCGCGTGGCACGGCCGCGGGCCTCCCTTCGCGCTCGGGGGAACCCGGGGGCCCCACACGGCCCGACAAACATCACGGGGGACCAGAGTGAGACCCGCGCCAGCGCCAAGGCAGGAAGTGCGGGCCAGGGGCAGGGGAGCAGGCGCCTGGAGGACCCGGAGGAGGCCGGCGGCTAGGAACGTGGGCGCAGAGGCCGGACCCACACGAGCGGCTTTCCCACCCGGCGGGCCAGCACCAGCAAGCACGGGCCCCACTGGCCTCGCCGCGGCGGCCGCCATCACGGGCCCAGTATTCCGCTCTATCCCCTCGCCCAAAGCCTGGAGGCGGTGCGCCAAACACTCACGCGGGCTAGGTCCTGGGGCACGAGTGGTCGGCGACACGGCGGTGGAGAAGGCTCGCAGAACCCCGGCCCCCGGCTGCCTGGGCAGACACGCCAAGATTGCAACGGCCGCCATGGCTGCGAGGACGGCAAGCCGCAGGGGACACGCGCCGCCAGGCGTGAAGGCGCGAGCCTGGGGCCGCAAGGCGCATGCGTACACCCTCTGGCCCCGCCCCCTAGCGTGGAGAAACTGGAGGCACCTGGGTCTGTGAGCGCCCGGGTTGGGTCAAACGTGGGGAGGAATCCCCCAAATAGAAAGGCTTCGGGAAAAGAGAACAAAAAAGATAACGGCGGTGGGGGCGAGGGAAATGGGCTTACCCCGGGCAAAGACACTTGCAAATGGGACCACGGGGACAGGTGGTCGTGGCTGAGGGAGGGCAGGTGTGTGTGGTCAGGGTGCACCCTTAGGCGCTCCAAAGCTCAGAAGGCCCGGCCCAGGGCGCAGGTTCTTTCAATTGCTTTTTTTTTTTTTACACTTTCTTGGGCTGGAAACAAAAATCTCCAGCTAGTGATCGGATCTTAGGGCAGAGAGGCAGCACGCTTGAGTGGAAAGCTTAGCTTCACCCTTTGGGACTGTGTGATGTCAGTGGACAGTATCTGCTACAGCATCGGCACGCGGTGGACACCGTGTGTCCGTGTGTCGTGTCCTGGAACTGGTATCAGGGGTTTGGGTAGTTTGATCAGACCACAATTACAAAACGTCAGAACTCATCAGGGTCTGGAAACCAATGTGCGTCCCTCATAACCCGGACTTTCTACCCTAGGATGGGTTAACACACACCCTTAATAAAATCATCACCTGTTTTTTAAAACAAAGTATGGAATGGTAATGGCAGCCAGGAGCACACACAGCTGACTCCTGGCGAGCATACACCCAGTGGAGCAGCTGTTCCGCAGTATTCTGGCCGCCAGCATTTCGTGTGCCATGGGTGTTTGTGGGCACGAGGCAGGTAAGGGGCATGAGACCGCCAAGCGTCTGCAGTGACCACCATCCTCATCTCAGGGCCGCTTACCTTCCTGTTACAGCCAGAGAGCAGAACACAGTGTACTCAGGACAGCTGCACCAGCGTCCCACAGGCCGGGGGATTTACCAGAACCTGTGTTCTCACCGCGCTGAGGACCACGGCTCAGAAATCCCAGTGTGCGCAGGGCTGGATCCTGCTGAGGGTTGTGACCGAATCTGTTCCCCGCCCGGCCCCCAGCCTCCAACGGTTGCCAACAGCGCGTGGCATTCGGAGTCTTCTAGATGCCTCACACCCTCGCCTGCCTTCACCCCATGTTCTCCCCTCTCCTCTTTACCTAAGATGGAAAGCATGGCCTGTGCCGTCACATGATGTGGGATTTGAGTCTGGGCTCTTGGGACGGCCGACGTAGCCTCTCGGAGCAACAACATGCTCCCAGAATGACTGATTTAGGGGAATGTGTTTCAGAAGACATAGCACAAATATTGGCCAATGCAGTTAAGCGCAGGGCCCATGTCACAGCCTCATTCTCTCTCTCAAGTTTATGTTTTTTAGCAGATAAAGTGGAAACCCAATGTCACAGAAATTTTGTGACAAAAAGGTTATAGTCATCGTTCAGACAATTATCCGTTTCTGAACAAGCTGAGGAACTTAGCTCCCCATTCTACCTTGTTATGCTCTGGGTCTTTTATTTTAACTCGCCCAAAAATGACAGTGAAAAGAGAGGACCAGAGCTAGAAGAGCCAGAGAAATACTTTGTACTCCCCCCGCCCCCTGGCATCAAGTATGGTAAATTGAGTTCTATGTTACAAGGTTAAAACTCATTTTAATGCCATCAACAGGCAATAATACCTATCTTATGCAGTAAAACAGTGAAACATAGGGTCAGCATCGTGGTGTAGGAGGTTAAGCCACCTCCTGCGATGCAGGCATCCCATATGAGGGTACTAGTTCGAGTCCCAGCTGCTCTGCTTCCAATCCAGCTCCCTACTGCACCAGGGAAAGCAGAAGATGGCCCAAGTTCTTGGGCCCCTGCCTCCTGCATGACAGACCTGGATGGAGTTCCACAGTTCTGTTTCAACCTGGACTACCCCAGCCAGTGTGGCCATTTGATGAGTGAACCAACACATGGAAGATTCTTTCTCTTTCTTTTCAAATAAACAAATAAAGTTTTTTTTTTAATAGTGAAGCATGTACTATGTTGCACGTGATGGTTACTAAGTTACACAATTTTCCAGTTTGAAAGGATCTTAGAGGTGCACTCACTCATGGTAAGAGTCTTTCCTTCGACCTATATGATTAAATAATTGAGCACAGCATAGAAGCCAGGCTGCACTTGGAAGGGCCCTTTGGCTTAGCGCTCTACCATCCCTGTCTAAAACTTCTTAACACGTTTTGAACAAGTGGCTCCACAACTTCAGTTTTCACTGGGCCCTGCAAATTACATAGTGGGTTCTAGGTACAACAGTTGGTAAATATTAAGCTTTCATACAGTGGGTTTTTACTCTATATAAATCCTGGATCAATCCAATGAGAGCTATTTTAATCAAAACTAACTTCCATATAAAACCTGTGTGGAGCAGCCAGTGCTGTGGCGTAGTGAGTTAAGGCTCTGCCTGTGATGTGGGCATCCCATATTGGCACTGATTTGAGTCCTGGCTGCTCCACTTCTGACCCAGCTCCCTGTTAATGCACCTGGGAAAGCAGCGGAAGATGGTCCAAGTTCTTGGGCCCCCACATCCACATAGGAGAACTGGAAGAAGTTCCTGGCTCCTGGCTTCAGCCTGGCACAGCCCTGGCCATTTCGGCCATTTGGGGAGTGAACCAGCCAATGGAAGATCTCTCTCGCTCTCTCTCTCTCTCTCTCCTTCTCTCTGTGTACCTCTTCCAAATTAAAAAAAAAATAAATCTTAAAAACCTGGGTGGACAAAATACAGTAGAGTCTGTATATCAAGTTCACAAGCAATATGCAGATCCCCAGGTTTCAGAAATGGACTTTGCAATGCAAAGGTATTGCAATGCAAACACCTACCAAACAGTACAGGTTAACTATATTATATAAAAATATAATACAAAATACCACTGAAGACACACGGCCTTTTAATGCACAGTACAAGTTCTAGAAGGATAAACAGCAAACTTCAGGCAGTAGGTATTGGGTCAGAGGTGATTTGTCTTTATAAAACTGGCTTATGTCACTTAACATCTTCCAGGTTCCTCCACACTGTTGCATAAGACAGGATACATCTTTTAATGGCCCAAATCGGGAGCCTGGAACTGTATCTAGGCCTCCAGATGGGACCAGGCACCCGGCCCATCTCCTACCACTTTCCCAGGCACATTAGCAGGGAGCTAGATGAGAAGTGGAGTGGCCGGGACAGGAACTGCTGCTCACATGGGATGCCCGTGTCACAGGTGCAGCTTAGCCCTCTGTGCCTACCTGTGGCATGGTTCACATCCCGCCCAGCAACCATCAGCAACACAATGTGCCTTCCCTTCAACCACATCCTACCTTGCACCTCCTCCCCCTCATGCCCTACCTCCCGGGTCCTGGCCACCCTCTTTTCCCACCCAGCTGACAGTCTGGCTCTGCTTGTCCTCTTCCCCCTCCACATCCAGTCTCCACCCAGCCCTCAAGTGAGGTGGGTGTCAGACCAAGGCACCAGCTCCTCCTATCGCTGAGAATAAAATCCAGAGTTCTTACTGTGGCCTCCCAGTCGGACCAGCTTGATCCGTTATTGGCTGTGTCTCCATACCTCTCCTCCCACTCTCTGGGGTGTGCTCAGCTCCATCCACGGCCACCTCCTGTGCTTGCTTCTCCAGCAGGGCAGAGCTGCTGGCCTCTCAGGCCCTTCCCCCCACCCCTGCAGCTCCCTGTGCCTGGAGCATCATTCCCCAATGCCGAACTCCCCAGTGGGCTCGCTGGCCACGTGGCCCCTCCTCGCTGAGCCTCCCTTCACCACCCCAGATAAAAGAGCACCCCCTTTACCCTCTAAGCCTTTACTCATGCATTTCCTTTACAGAACCCCTAACATGAATTTTTAACAATGTACTTGGTGTGGAGGTGGGGAAGGGTGAGGGGAAGAATTAGAGAGAGAGAGACAGAGACAGAGACAGAGTAATACTCTGGTCCAACATGTGCTGTCTCGATCCATCTTCTGCAAGGAGGGGCCGGGGCTGAATGAGCATTAGCCAGAGGGAAACCAAAGGCTGGAGAGGCTACATTCCTTCCTTAAAAAAAAAAAAGAAAAACTTACTATTTATTTGAAAGGCAGAGTTACAGAGAGGGAGACACACACACACACACACACACACACACAGGGTATTATCTTCCATCTGTGGGATCACTCCACAAATGGCTGCAATGGCCGGGGCTGGGCCAGGCTGAAGCCAGGAACTCCATCTGAGTCTCCCGTGTGGGTGCAGGGGTCCATGTACTTGGGCCATCTTCCACTGCTTTCCCCAGTGCAGAAGCAGGGATCTGCATTGAAAGTGGAGCAGGGCCGGCGCCGTGGCTCACTAGGCTAATCCTCTGCCTGCGGCCCCGGCACCCCAGGTTCTAGCCCCGGTCGGGGTGCCAGTTCTGTTCCGGTTGCCCCTCTTCCAGTCCAGCTCTCTGCTGTGGCCTGGGAGTGCAGTGGAGGATGGCCCAAGTGCTTGGGCCTGCACCCGCATGGGAGACCAGGAGTAAGCACCTGGCTCCTGGCTTCAAATCAGCACAGTGCGTGGGCCGCATTGGAGGGTGAATCAACAGTGCAGGAAGACCTTTCTCTCTGTCTCTCTCTCTCACTGTCCACTCTGCCTGTCAAAAAAAAAAAAAAAAAAGTGGAGCACATTAAGACTCAAGCTGCCACCTGTATGGGATGCTGGGGTCGCAGGCGGAGACTTAATCCACTGCACCACAGCACTGGCCTCCTCTTCCCCTTTCCCGAAGTGAGCAGACAGCACGGGGATGGCAGCTCCCTTCCTCCGGTTCCCCAAGGACTTGGGGTGCTGCTATGGCTTGGACATTGGTCTGGGCAGCCCCCCAATGCCCACGTGTTAAAAGCTTCATCCCCAGAGTGGCACTACAGGGTGGTGATGGAACCGTTGTGGGTGCGGTGGCAGGAGATGCCTAGGTTGCTGGGTCTTGTTACAGAAGCCTGAGCTGGTCTCTCCTTCTCTCCCTCTCCTGGCTCACGTGACCCCTCCTCGGTAGGGGCTCTGCCACCACCAATGACCACTCTCAGCAGAGGCCAACACAATGTGGCCATGGCCGCTCCATCCTGGACTTGAACCTCCCTCTAAGTAAATCAATGCAACCCTGTAGAGAAAGTTGCCTGAGGCGTTTCATCATGGTCAGGAAGACGTGATTCCCACCATGGTGGAGGTGAAGAGCAAGGGTCTGGGGGCTGCAGCTCCTTACTGCTGACAGGCCTGTTTAAATGAGTGCTTGGCTCAGAGCACAGAACGGGCACCGGCGCATCAGGACAGATTTAGGCTGGAGTCAGCGACGCGCCCTCAGCTCCTGTGAATCCTGTGTACTGGAATGGAGGAAGAATCAGAGCGGACCTAGGTGGCTGTCCTGGGCACTGCGGGTCTTCTTGATTTCAGTGTGGCTGTTGCTCCAAAAGAAATCAATTGGCACCCTCCAAAAGGCTCAGTGGAGGAGAGACGATGCCTGCACAGGCCAGGTTCAAGGGGATCAGCCACCGTCAGGAAAATGGCAGGGAGCTGTCCAAACCAAGAGCTGGTCAGAATCCGGGATCTCCTCCCTCGGATGTGGTCTGCTCCCCTGGGCACTGCTGGCTGGGAGCCAGGGGGCAGGGGAGCCCAGAGTAAGGCAGAGAAGGGGGACGGTGGGTGTCGGGGACGAGAGAACTCTCAGCCCAAGACTTGACAAGCACACACAGGGGGACCGGGACCCCACCCTCCCACAGCTCTCGTCTGGGACCTGTTAGTAGTCCTGACGTTCATCTAGTGGCTTGCGATCAGCATTTTAAAAAGGATGTTGTAGCACAGAAAACACAAGAGTGCCTGCCACAGTTTGTCACACGCATCACAGCAGCAATATGTATTTCTTAACTTCAAGAACAGCCAGCTTATGTTGTACTACAGCGGACATGTTGTCTTAATTCAGCCACACAGGAATTGGAAAATTCCAAAATACATCATGTGCCAAGGCCATGGAAAGACAGCAGAAACAGAAAATGTCATTGTTATTTTTTAATAACATCCTCTGATTCACTCCTCAAATGCCTGCAACAGCCAGGACTAGGTGAGGCCACAGCCAGGAGCAGGAGCCAGGAATCCCATCGAAGTCTCCCACCTGGCTGGCAGACATGCAGCTCCTTGGGCCATCACCTGTTGCCTCCCAGGGTGTGCAACAGCGGTGAGCTGAGCCAGGAATCAAAGGCAGGTTCTGACACAGCGACAAAGGTGTCCCAAGCAGCGGCTTAACCACTGCACCACATGCCCCAACAAGTGATTTAAGAGTTTGGGTGCATTTTAGATTTGGCCCATGTTTTCAAACAGCTGCACCTCTATGAATCAAGATTCAACAGCAGACTAAGGCCAAGACGTGAAAGAACAAGCAACAGCAACCAGCCCGATCCTTGGCAGGTGCACAGCTCTGCCGTCTCAGTAACTACAGTAGCTTAGTGTCAATTTTCTCTAAGTGACCCAAGAAAAGAGATGGGCTTTGTAACTGGACAGACCCCGCTTTTGGTTACAAGCCACGTAATTGTCTTAGGAATGATTTAGCCTCTCTGCTGGGTCAAGAAGAAACAAACACCTCTTCAAGTTTTGGAGGGATACATAAGCCATGGTCGTACACGGGAAGCCCATGGCCTGCCATAGCAGTTTAAGAAATACTGGTGATTCCTCTTTGAACTGCTAAATTCCACACAGGTTTTTAAGCAAAAACGGTCATTATGTGTGAATATTACAGATGCTAAATGAACACCAACTATTGCTACAAGCAGTTGTTTTCTGGGTGACTGACACAAGTGGATTCCCAAGTAAATGCCACCAATGTCTCATCTTTGCAGAGAAAGCAACATGGGAGGAGGCAGGAGCGAGGGAGAGTTAGAGGGAAAGAGTGGTGCGAAGCTCACTGAGAAGTCCGGAGTGGAAAGTGGTATCTTTGGCTTGTGTTGTGGTGCAGCAGGTAAAGCCTCTGCATGTGATGCCAGCATCTCACATGGGTGCCAGTTCATGTTCCGGCTGCTCCACTTCCAATCCAGCTCGCTGCTGGTGGCCTGGGAAAAGCAGTGGAAGACGGCCCAAGTGTTTGGGCCCCTGCTACCCACGTGGGAGACCTGGAAGAAGCTTCTGGCTCCTGGCTGTTGCAGGTGTCTGGGGAGTGTTCCAGTGGGTGGAAGATCTTTCTCTAACTCTTTCAAATAAAATAAAATAAAGTGGCATCATCAATGGAACGAAACCCACTCTGTAGCCTCTCCTACCACTGTCCCTGCTCACTTTCCACCAACAGCAGTGAAAACACATTTCACACTTTTTAGTGCTAGACTTAACCATTTCCAAGAAGGACAGAGTTTTTTTTTTTCTTTTCAAATCAAACTTTCAACATAACTTTATTATCCTCTCCTTCCACTTTCTTATGGAACACCTGAGTGAAAGATTAAATTAGCAATCTTCCTGAAATGCGGCCAGGGTTCTTTTCTCTTCACAAACTATGACATGCTGTGGCCCAGATAACCACTGTCCATGAGAGAGGGTAAAAATAAAAAGGTCCCATGCCAGAATGCCACCCACCGATGAGCTTCTTAGAACACAATGCACGCCTCTTTCCACCCGCCAGGCCAGGTCTGTCGCACACACACCATTCAGAGGATGCTGACGTAAGCCTTGCCCACCTCTCTCAGCCCGTCTTTCGTACTCAGGCAGCTCCCAAGCAGCTGTCTGATGGGGACACACTCTTCTGTGTCCAGGACGAACCGGATCACAGCCTCCCGGCCCGGCAGGTGGCTCCCGGCCATCTCACTCGTGACACTGTCCAGGATCACCCCTCTGACATCCTGTGGCTTCCCAGGGACACCAAAGACAAGAAAGAGGCCCAGACAATCCTCCCCTATCAACGTACAGAACTCATGCAGCTTCTGAAAGCGGTTTGTCTTCCCCAGGGACTCCTCGGGCGTTGGCTCTGGGTGGGAGAGGTCGCAGAGCGGGGGCTCCAGCAGAGGAAGGGAGGCCATGTGCAGCGTCTGCACGGCCAGCTGAAGCTTCACCTGCTTATCGGATCCCCAGAAGGTCCAGATCCAGTCGGCCCCAAACAGCAGGGCTTGGTGCTTGGTCATCTTGCTGGTGGTAAGCCACTCCCCAACTCCGTGCTCCTGGCAGAAGGTGATGAAGTGGATTAAGAAGATCTCATTCAGGGTGTCCACGGCCGGGCAGAGCTTACTCAGTGGATATTCAAATCCCAGGTACTCCTGCAGTTTCCGGGCAGCATGGACCACGGCTTCACTGACCACGTCACAGACGCAGGGCGCCTCCTTGCCGTCCTGCTGGGCCAGCTGTTGCGAGGGTTTCTGCCCCATTTTGTCTGCACCCCGTCAACACAGCTCCCAACAATCAAACATGTGAACCCCGATGCGGCTCGGGAGTGAAGTCCCTGTTTCTAGGCTCACGGGTTGCTAATCGACAGCTGACTCAGTGCAGCTAAGCATATATACAGCCTGAACAAACACCCGGGGCCACCCTGTTTGCCTACTGGGTGTGTTAGTCTCTCATTTTCCTGCTGGTCTGTTCAGAGATAGTAACTCGTGGCACAAAACATCTGTTCTTGTCCAGGTCATGATCACTACTCATCTTCCAAGAGATGTATACTCTTTTCAAATTTTAAATTAATAGACAGAATGTTAGTTCTTAAAGACCCATACACATCTTTGCTTCTGTAAATAATTTCCTCAATTTTTTAAGAAAATCATTTCTGTTTCCTATATTCCTTCTGCTGGGATTCCTCCTCCCCCAGCTCAGGTGCCTAAGTTTCCTTTCATACAAAGACCTCAGATGTGCAGACACGTGTGATAAGCCTCAGTCAAACCCATGGCCATTCATACATGACACTTTCTATTTTTCATATCAGAAATAGCCTGTTATTCTGGACACAGGAAAGCCAAATCAAGAAAAATGCAAGGCAATTATCAATTGACTTTATTTCCTTTCACATGGTAATGCCAGCAGTATATAATATTTTGTAAATAAAATATATCATCAAAAACTTTTTTAACTTTCCCACACATCATCAGTGATGTTGTATTGTCCGGAACAAAGAATATTTGGCATCTGTAACAGAGTCCAGGTATTTTCAGTAGGGTTCTGATAAGAAGGGAGTTTTCCAATGGTGACATATTCACATCCAAATAAAACCCAAATGACAGTGAGGGTCTGAGTTACCAGCTCATGAATGGCAGAGTTCAAAGGCGATCACCGTTAGCATCAAATCACTGGTGCTACAAATAAATAGTCAGCTAGTGCTACAGGTTCCTTGACAAATGGCTTGGTCAGTTACTGACAACGTACGAGACGAGACCATTGCTAGTCAATACAATTCATAACCAGAGTTCCCTGACACACACGGAACTGCTTCTCCACTCCCGTTTGTGGAATCCTGCCTTTTCCGGGGTTGGCTGTAACCAGTAATTACGTAGCACCGCGTAAAGAGCAGAAGATCCTTCCCAAGACCGCTAGAAAAACATACCACATGGAGTCACAGTGTTCGCAGTAGCTCCCCACTGCCGTGTGCCTGTGCCGCAAACACGCACTGCATTTTATCCGCACAAAGCAGCCACCGTAAAACTACTGCGGCTACCTCGGAGTTTTTGGAACTCTGGCAGAGACAAGCTGCCCAAAGATGCAGTCTTCCAAAAGGCCCCACCTGCTGATCACACAAGGTGGCGTGTTTAGGCTGACGTTAGTATTTTGATGTGATGGTGTCTTGGGCGAAGAAGCAAAGTAAGACACTTAATACTGTCATGGTTTTGGCTTCGTTTCTGGTTTCTTTAGAAATTATTTCTACAAATCTTGTCGGGGCGGGGTGGGGAGGGAGAGTGATTCTGAATGCGTTGAAGTTAATAGTGCATCGTTTCCCTTGCTTTCCTCCTCAGGAGGTAAAAGGATCCCAGGTTCAGGATGATGTTCCTCACCGGCCTGCTGTGTCAGAGGAGGGCCACTTTATATATACGCATTTAGATATATAAAACACTTTTTATACATGCATCTCTATATAAAACACTTTATATATAAGCCTGATGGATCAAGTTGGTTAAAATTCGGTTGTGCCGAAAGAGCATTCGGATCTCTCTGGAACCAGCTGGAATAGCAACATGTGGATTGCTATTTTTTTTTTGTTTGTTTCTGTTTTTGCTTTAAAATGTGATCTTATCACCATCTTCCTTATGTCACAAAATAAAACTTCTATTTTTCTATGTGCTGTATATATACACAGATATTTAGAAAAATATATAAAAAATAAGACAAAAAGAGGCAAGTGGAGGTGTGGCTGGCATCTGGCAGGCACGCCGACTGCTTAAAGAGATTCCACAGTGGAGTTGGCGGGCACAGCGCGTCCTGTTCGGTTGGCTACAGCAAAATCCTGGGACGTGACGAAAGGGCCCACGTCCCGGTCACCGCTTCACAGACCCTGCGTCCCGGGGGGTATGAGTGGAAATGCCATGGCAAAATCCGCAGCGCAAATGCAACGCCTTAAATATAATAAATCACAGGTTTGTACATTAAATAGGGGCAAAGCAAGCAGACGCCCATTCTCCGGTGGTGTCCCTCTCGTTGGTGTGCTAACGCCAACAGGTGCGTCTCCCCCACTTTCCACGTCCTGTTGCCGAGGGGCAGCGGCTGAACGATGGAGCGCGCAGACGCTGCCGCTTGCTGCGTGCACGGAGAGCGTGCGAGGGCTAAGGTGGGCGCGAGGCTGAGGGCTGCCGTGCCACGGTCAGACGTTGGAGTCTTCGTCCGTGATGCTGGTGCTCGGTGAGCAGGCGGCGAAATCTTTGAACATGTCATCCTCCTTGAGCATGTGCTGAGGAACACGCGGGGGGGAATCAGGCAGAGCCGCACCCCGCCCCGCACCCCCGCAGCCCCCGGCGGCACTGTAACAGGTGTTTCTGGAGTAACACAGACTCACCGTCAGGTTGTTGATACCCTCGGAGAAGGCGCCAATCTGTCTGACCGTCCCTTCGGAATCTTCCATCTGCAAAGAACAGACCGAAATGTGAGAGACCCGCTTCCCGGCATGGAGGGGAAGTCCAGGGAGACGAACAGAACTCGGGGAAGAAACAAGGCCAGCAGTGTCGACGGGCGAGTGGCCGACAGACAGCCCCCTCTCGTGGCTGCCAAGGGCAGGGAGAACCTAGGAGAAGCAGGGCACTGACGGGGGCGGCCAAGGGTCACGGAGTGGGAGGCAAGCTGTCCTGTCCTGACCTCTCCGAAAAGTTCTATTCATTTGACAGGCAGAGAGAGAGAGAGAGAATTTCATTTGCTGGTTTCCTCCCCAGAAGCCAGCCCCTGGGGGCTGGGACTCAGGCACACTGAAGCTGAGAGCCAGGACTGCCATCCAGATCTCCCACATGGGTGACAGCAGCCCAACTACCTATGCCATCCCCACTGCCCTCCAGGGTCCTCCTTAGCAGGAAGCTGGAATCAGGGGTTGAATTCAGGTACTACAAAGTGCATATGAAGATACTGACTGGTGTCTCAAGCTGTAGGCCAAACACCAGCCCCAATGATCTGTTCTAATGCCTACACTTCCTTAACCCAGAGCTGGTACAACATGGGCCGTTCATCTCAGCAGCACAGGCTTGGAGCCAGCTGGGTAGGTTAGAGCCCTGGGGTAAGTCACCAACCTCAGCGTCTCAGTTAATGATACTCCCTGGCTTTTCCGGGTTCCGTGAACATCCTACATTAAGTGCTTAGAGAGTCCCTGGACTGCCGTCAACAATCCAAGCGTTTATTATTGTTATTTTATTCTCCTGACTTTTGGGCCCTGGATCAGTACACACACGTGCAGCATTCCCTTCGGGCCGGGACGCTGGAGCCACTTTGAGAGACTCACTCGGCGCCACACTCACCTGCTCTAGCCGGTCCAGGTCGTCCTCGTCGTAGAGACGCATGTCCAGACCAGGTTTAAATCCTTTCTTGGATGCACTTCCTGACACCTGTCCCAACTCCATCGGACAAACATATTCTTCCCCATCTTCCTGCTTCTTCTTTCTCAGGTTCCCAAAATTGCTGAAGGTAAGTTTCTTTGGCTGTAAAGAGAAAATCAAACAAAAACCCGGATATCTGAGAGAGCTCACATGACAAAAATACCGATAACAGGGATAAAATTATTTGCCTTGTCACAGAGAAAAATGAACAGATGATTAAATTTGAGTAACAAAAAGCAAGGGCAAGCATTTAGCCTTTGAGTATAATGTAAATTAAAAAGATGTTGTCTCAAAAACTAAGAGAGAGAAAGAAAGGGAGAGCGAGGGAAGGAGGGAAGAAGAAAATATCATTATGTTCTTAGAACTGTATGAAATACAGTGAACCTGTTCTCTTTGTAGTACATTACATTACATGAAAAAAATAAAGTAAAAAAAGACCCACAAAAAAACAAGCACACCCTAGGCAAATGAATCATGCACCCAAATACGATAAGTGACCCTTGTTATAAAGCTCAGGAGAGATAGCTTATTCTTCTTACACCAGTTAGCTATTTAGTCACCATGAAAAATATGCCGGAAGCCCCAGTTTTCATTAGACAAGACTTAATGCAAAGTTTTGCAACCAGCAAAACAACAACTGCAATGACAGCAAATGGTCCTGACTGTGTTTTCTCTGTGGGCGAGGCTGCACTGTCCTATACACTTGTTCTGTTTCCATTAACAGGACTGGCTGTTGCTAAAAGAATTTCCAGTCTTCTGCAGAGAAAACTTTAGTGCTAACTGGGAACTGCAACTCCATCTCAGACCCTGGATAGTCCCCTGAGACTTTCTTTTCTTTTTTTTTTTTTTTTTAATTTTTTTTTTGACAGGCAGAGTGGACAGTGAGAGAGAGAGAGACAGAGAGAAAGGTCTTCCTTTGCCGTTGGTTCACCCTCCAATGGCCGCCACGGCCGGCGCGCTGCGGCCGGCGCACCGCGCTGATCCGATGGCAGAAGCCAGGTACTTCTCCTGGTCTCCCATGGGGTGCAGGGCCCAAGCACCTGGGCCATCCTCCACTGCACTCCCTGGCCACAGCAGAGAGCTGGCCTGGATGGAAATGGTGGTCAGGCTGATGCCTGGCATTTAAACAGAACCACCTCTCTCAAAGGTTTCCAAATCTGTCACACTCTTTTTTTTTTTTTTTTAATTTCACAGGCAGAGTTATAGACAGTGAGAGAGAAGAGACAGAGAGAAAGGTCCTCCCTCTGTTGGTTCACCCCCCAAATGGCCACTACGGCCGGAGCTGCTCTTTTCCGAAGCCAGGAGCCAGGTGCCAGGTGCTTCTTCCCAGTTTCCTATGCGGGTGCAGGGGACCAATCACTCGGGCCATCCTCCACCGCTCTCCCAGGCCACAGCTGAGAGCTGGACTGGAAGAGGAACAGCTGGGACTAGAACCGGCACCCACATGGGATGCCAGCTCCGCAGGCGGAGGATTAACCAAGTGATGCATGGCACCAGCCCCAAATCTGTCACACTCTTAAAAACTTATTTGAGAGACACAGGGACAAGGAGGGGGGAAGGTGGGATAGAGAGAGACACACACACACACACACACAGAGGGACAGAGCTATCTCCCAAACATGGGATCACTCCCCAAAAGCCTGTAACGGCCAGGGTCAGGCAAGGCCATAAGCCAGGAGCTGCGACTGCAAGCCAGGTCTCACACACCGGGAGGGACCCAGTTACCGAGACAGCACTGTGGCCTCCCGGGGTACACATTCGCAGGGAGCTAGAGTCACAAGCTAGAGCTGGGTACTGAACCCAGGTACTGGGATGTGAGACCCAGGTACCTTAATTATCAGGCCAAACAACTGCCCGCAGCCTGACTTTTAACAGAGAAAGGACACAATAAAGAGAAGATGCTCAGGCAGATGGGATGGGAAGGGGGCAGGTAAAAAAAAAAACCTAGAACGCGGCACATGGTCTTCAAAAAGTTCATGGAAAATGTGAATTTTGAAAAAACGACACATAGGTTTCAAACTCTTTTGGTGCAAAAATACACTTCTCTGGTTTGATTTGTCCATGAACTTTCTGAGTGCCCCCTGTTTTTCTATAAAAGCTGGCAAACTCCATCTTTGCATTAAACTGATGGAGGTAGCATATGCAGCACGGGACTTAGAAGAAGAAAGAGCCACGTGAGTCGGGGATGTCCCACAAATCCACGGGAACTAGGAAAGCGCCGTCCTCGGCTGTTCTACCAGGAGTCATTTCTTCCGCAGCTACTCCTAACTGTCGAGGCTGGTCAGAAATCAGCCAGACGCCTTCCTCGTATCCCTGGCTAATGGATGGGAGAAGCAGGACCAGGGGGAACCCACTCCCCGGCTTGCTGCGTGGGCAACATAGCCAAGACGGAAGCTAGCGTCGTGCTCCTTGTTACTGAAAACTCTCATAAAAGCAATGACTCGAGCAGCAGCCTTCCAGAACGCGCTCCCCTAGTTACTGTTGAGCCTCCAACCCCAGCACAACACTCAGTGAACGCCCAAGACAGAACCACCGGTCAGCAGGCACAGCCGAGCCTCCGCCCCAGGCAGTCAGGAAACAAAGGCGGAGGCCACCTTCACTTTGGCCGTGGCCGTGAGCAGGACGTAGTCCGGCAGCTCCATGGCGTCTCGCTTCTGGTGCTGGGCCTCGGCGCCGATCAGAAGGTTGAAGTGGGTGGCCAGGTGCCTGCGCAGCAGGGTCTTGTTGGGTGGGATGTTCAGTAACTGAGCCATGGTTTCCACGTTGAAACGCGGCTCGAGCACCTGCGGGAGAAGCAAGCTGTAAGAGCGCCGGGCTTGCGCTGTGCTGTCTCGTTCGCCGAGCTCTGTCGCTGAGATTATCTCCAGCGACCCCCCCACGGCCCGCGGGTGGACGGGGCGTGGACTCTGAGCCATTGAGTGAGCTGGTTCTGAAACCCGGGCTGCTGCGATTGCACTCTGATGAGTGCTTCTCTGGGAGTTGGCTTCTGAGGCAGGACTGCAGATTGTGCAGCCACACAATCTGTACCTTCCTGGGGTTTTAAAAACGCGATCACAGGACAGACGGGGGCTAGCTCAACACGGAAGAGAAATGGGTTTAAATACAATCCTTGATACCAGTGGTTGAACTCTTTAATTAACACAGAATTATTCTTAGGTGTATAAATCCCACTGAAAATGGATTCCTGTTAAAAGTAAGAGTGGGAATGAGAGAGGGAGGAGATGTACAGTTCGGCACACGCTCCCTGGGACTTACCCCTAAGGGTAAAGCTAAGAACTTGTCATTGGGAGGAGGCGTAAGAGCAAACGGGAAACTCGTTTATGTTTCGCAGACACTACACACAGTCTGGAGGCAGCTTCACACAGCATTCTCAGGGCACCTGTGTTTTGTCTGTGACCTGTCCCGTGAAGGTCAGGTGTGGAATTTTCCACTGGTGGTGTCACGCTGGCTCTTACAGAGTTTCGTTCTTTGCAGCATCCGGGGTTCCGGATGAAGGACACCCAACCTGGAACGTCCTGTTCCTCAGACTAAGGGAGCACCCCGAGAAGCCACGCTGAAGGGGAGGCCGAGTTTACCATGAGCCCGCCGTGGACGCCGCTGCCTCTGAGGTTCGGGGCGTACTCCGCCAGGTCCACGGAGCGTAGCCACTCCATCACGCGATGGTTGGTCCACTGCTGAACCTCGGAGGGGGTGATGCTGTTCTGTGGGAGCAAACGACCGCAGATCCTCCGCATTAAACCTGCAGGCTGCCTAGAACCTCTGCCCCATGGAACACCACCAGGCAGCCCACGGGACGGCTCAAGGAAGGCTAAAACGTGTTTGCCAATCCACAATCTCTCCCTTTTTAAAAATCACTTTATTTGAGAAAGAGAATGGGGGTGGGGAGGAGAGGGAGAAGGAGCTGGACAAAAACAGAGAAGCCCCATCTACTGATGTACTTCCTGCAAGAGCTGCAGCTGAAGCCGGGAACCAGTAACTCCATCCGGCTCTCCCACAGGAGTGGCAGAGCCCCAAGTACTTGAGCCGTCCCTGCTGTGTCCCAGGGCACACAGCAGCAGGACGCTGGAACCAGCAGGTCTCAAACCCAGGTCCTCTGATAGGGGATGCAGGCATCCTAGCGGGGGTCTCACCCACCACGCCAGATGCCCACCCCTGAATTCTCTTAAGGAATTTGTGTCACAGAGTTCCAAGGTTCCTTACGCACTAAGAAAATACTGCTCTAGGAAAGGACGTCTTTACAGAGATGATTTCACTCTGTGGATCAGGAGACAAGGAAAACACCCACCCACACACCCACATCCACACCCACACCCACACAGCGTGAAAAGCCTCCCCGGGAGACGCTACCTCGTCCGAGGGCCGCCTCCGCAGGCAGTTGGGTTCGAAGTTGTTGAGGCGCAGGACCTGGATGGCCCTTTTGATGCTGAGGTGGTGGAGCAGGCTCACAACCTTCAACGACAGCAAGTCATCCTGCGGAAACAGCAAAAGGAGGCGCTCGCTGGGCCCAGGGTGTGAGTGCTGCAGGGTCTACCAGCCCCAGAACCCCCTTTCCTGTTCTGAACAGGGACCCCAAATTAATTATTGTTTCTGTGGAAGCTTCCAGTCACTCTGAACTGCAGCACTCACTGGTCACTGCACAAGGTGCCTGTTCTGATTTGCTTTTTGTTTGTTTGTTTGTTTTCTCAAGTTTTTTTTTTTTTTTTTAACTTAGTTTGCAATTTTTTTTAAAGATTTATTTATTTATTTGAAAGTCAGAGTTACACAGAGAGAGGAGAGGCTGGGGGTGGGGGGTCTTCCATCCGATGGTTCACTCCCCAGTTGGCTGCAATGGCCAGAGCTGCGCCGATCCAAAGCCAGGAGCCAGGTGCTTCTCCTGGTCTCCCATGCAGGTGCAGGGCCCAAGCACCTGGGCCATCCTCCACTGCACTCCCGGGCCACAGCAGAGAGCTGGACAGGAAGAGGAGCAGCCAAGACTAGAACTGGCGCCCATGTGGGACGCGGCGCCTCAGGCCCGCCCCTCTCCTCAAGTTTGAGAACTGTCTTTACAAAGAAGACACTTAACGCAATTAAAGGCACGGCCCAAAGATTCCACAGAGAATGGCTCAGAGCAAACAGCGCTCACTGATGATCAAAGTTTGGTTTTCTGAACTAAAGGCAACTCAAAGTTGCAGAGAAACTCGGAATGCTTTTTGCTGTACTGTGCTCTGGCCTTACAATTTCTCTAGTTCCAGATTTTTATGCTTAATCTAGAGCAGGTATTATCCCTAATCTCAGAAAAGCTAGGTCAACCAGAGTAAAGGTTTTGGTGAAAGTTAAGGAGTGAAGACAAACAACAAGTGGCAAGTTAGCCACTTACAACACTGACCAGTGCCTGCCAGGAAACACTCTCACCGACTGACTGAGAACTTGTTCAAACACGCCAACACACAAAACAAATGATTGCAAGAGCAGGTGATCTGGGGACCAGGAGCAAGATAGGCACCCCTGTCTCCTTCGAAACACACCCAGAAAATCAACAAGGGAAATACACATTTTAGGCATAGCCTGCTGATAACACACTTCTTATGAAAGAAAAGGAAGAAAAAACATTTTAATCTACTATAGAAGTGTTTTTCAGATGAAAATATCAGTCATAGAAATCCTTAAGGCTGCTAGCTGAGCAAAAAAAATCACATATTAAAATTTTCTGAAAACCACTTTAAGTAGTTAAAAAAAAAGCATCCAAGAATATTTTATCTAAGACTGAGACATCCGTTCCAAACATTGCATTGAAGGTTTTCATCTACTACTGTTTTTTTTTTTAAATCTGAGTGTATAATGATTATAATGCAAATAAAGTATTAACCTTTGGCAAAATGCTTATAATTTGAAAGAGTTTAAAAGGAGGGATTCCTTTATCATGCACTTAAGTCTAGAAAGATTTTGTTTAAATATTTTTAAAATGTTTGGATTTTTAAGAACTTTGTTTTAAAACAATTTGATATATAGAAAAGATGCCAAAGATGGTATAGTTGTAAGTATACCTTTCCCTTATCAAAACTAAGAAATTAATACGGATAATAATACAATCAACTAAACTACAGACTTCATTCCAGCTTCACCAGTTCTTCTGCTAGAGCCCTTTTTCCGTCCCAGGACTTAATCTGGGAGACCATATTAAAACAAATTTTTGATTTAGAATGTCTGGGGTCAAATTTCCCAAGCCAGTTTATTCTTTTTTTTGGGCCACACAAACTACCCATGTGCTTCCTGTGGTTTTAAGCCTGTTCCGCTGATATTCTGAGAGGAACACACTCACACCTAGATAGGCAGGCAAATATTTGCTGAATTTGTTCCACATGGAACAGTGAGCTATTATGAGCAGGGATCTGAACAGAGCTTGGATTTAAACCCCTATGGCTTACTACCACTTTCTAACTGTGGAAACGCAGTTTACCTAATCTATCAACTCCTTTGTTTCCTGGTCTAAAAGTGCGGACAATAATAGAACTAACCAAAAAGGGTAAGAATTGAGTATGAACATGAGTAAAATGCTCAGAAGTCCATCTGGCACGCTATGACATGCAATATACAACACCTAATGGCATCACCACACACACGGGGGGTACGATGGGCCCAAAGAGAAGGACTCTGGTTCAATGACAAGAGAAAGAAACAAATCTCAGGAGCTGAACTCCAAATGTCTCTCTCCTTCTGTAAAGTTCATGCCCATTTATTTATGAGAGAGAAAGAGAGACAGACAGATAGAGAGACAGAGTTCCCATCTGCTGGTTCACTCTTCAAATGCCCTCAGCAGCTTTGGGGCTGGGGTTAGGAGCCAGGAACTCCATCCAGGTCTCCTAAGTGGGTGGCAGGAACCCAATTACTTGAACCATTATTGCTGCCTTCCAGGGTCTGAATTTGCAGGAAGCTGGAATCAGGAACTGCAGCTGGGACTAGAATCCAGGCACTCTAATATGAGACAAGGGGATATAAACTGTTAGATCAAATCCTTGCAACCCTAACTTTGTTCGATATTGAGAAATGCATACTTAAGCTAGATGGTTGAAACTTTCTACATATTTCAAGAGGACTGTGATGGTTTGGCACAAAGCCAAGCTCAAAAGGGGCTATTTAAACAAAGAGATCTTAAGAACATCAGTAGTGCCATGGAATCTAGAACAAGGTTTCCAGGGATTCATCCCTCCCACTGCTGTTAAATAGGGAAGAGTCTTCCCACTCACTGGCTGCAAGGCTAGAAAATGCACACGAATGAGAGAACGAAGGAACCAGAGTGGAACTCTAGCTTCCCTCTTCCTTTACCCCAGTCCCAGCGGCTATAGCAGAACTGGGCTGCCAGGAGGAGGGTGAGACTTTTCAGTAACAGCGGTCCAACACGGCAGGGAAAGGCGAAAGGATGTCAGGTACGAAGGGGAACTCTTCCGAGCAGTCAGTGCATAGGACGATGCAGAACCCGCGAGCTGCCAAAGCTTTAAAACTCAGCCTTCTATTTTTAAAATATCTTTATGAGAAATAATTCACACCATAAAATTCACCCACGGCACACACTTCCACGTTTACACTGCTGAATATGTAAGAAATCAACTTTCTGGACAGCTCAGGGTACATTAGCCTACACAGGGATTTCATGGCATCCTAAGGCTGTTGCAAACACCAAATCCTGCAACGTCAACCTCACGGGAAATACTCCTGCCCACTCCTCAAGGTAAAGCGACACCTTCAAATTCTGTTGGAGTCATTCTGGAAACACAGTATGTCCCTGACTGCATTTCTGTGCTTTCGGACAGAAAACAACTTTCCTCCCCTAAAGCCCAGAGTGAATCACTTACAACGGTCATGTAATGCAGCATCCGACCATCAACCAGTCCTTCATCAAACTGGGTCTTATACTGGGGGAGGCCGATATCATCCAGCCATCCTGAAAGGGAGTAACAGTGTCGTTACGGGGCCCAGGAACACCCATTCCTGTGAGCACCCCGAGAAGGCAGCAATGCTGATTTTTTTAAACAACGAAACCCTCTTACTAGTGACCCAGTTGAAATCCAGCTTCCCGTGGTTGGTTTCTTCCTCTGATCCCAGGGCTTGCAGTGCCAGCTGCAGCTTCTTTCGATGAAGTGAATGCTTGATCCCAAGTTCCTGCGACGAGAAACAGCAGCCCTGACTTTATAACTCTATCCACAAGGGCTGGGCGCCACTGCCCAGGGATGCAGACTCCTAGCATCAAAGACCCAATTCCAAACGCAAGGACAATACTAACTGGGACAAATCAAATGTTGCTGAACAAAAGACCCCCTAGGAAGCCAAGACCGCTGTAATTAGTGCAATGGGCTGCGAAGACATTCCTCAGTGACTCATTTTCTTTGCAAGACAGAAACTGCAGCTTGCCTAAGAGCAATTTTACTCTTTTTTGTGCAAAATGCTACTTGATTGGGAAGAAATGTCCAACACTCGGACGTAAAATGCAGGGCACTATTTTTCTCCTTTGCAATGTGAAGTAGAATTCCACAATGAGAAGATAAAGTCACAAAGCGAGTTTCAGAGATCAGAGTTTAAGGTTATTACAGCTATAGCATTATTTTTCATGTAAACATTTAGCCATTTCTAAGCATCCCATGAGGACGCATCAAGACCAGCTTCTTCCTCTAAGTTCAGGAGATAAGATGAGAAAGCAGCAGCCGGGAACCCACACTTTTGCAAGAGTATGTACTGGCTCCACCCACACCACTTTCTGGAACGGAAGACAACCCCACCTTCCACGTGCTTTCTCTTAGGGTCCGATCGTAAACCAAACAGGGAAGCAATCACCTTTTCTAGATCTTGCTGAGAAGCTTGCAAAAGTGTTTGGCCAGATGCAATCCAGTGCTTGCCGGAACTCAGGTAGGAGCCCAAGCCCTGTTCCACAAGCCAGTTGCAAACTTGCTCCTTGGTCCACTTGGCAAATGGCATATCCAAGTCACTACAGGAAAATGAACAGCCGCATGAAAAGCAACTCGAGGCCAATCCATGGCTTATCACCAGTTTCGACCAAGTGTGCATTCAGTAGGTACGGACACTCCCTGGAGGTACTGCTTGTTTGTTAGTGTCTAGTTGAAGGCAGAAGTCACACTGGAGTTGAAAATTACTCTAAGACCACTCGCTTTCTATCTAATGATACCACAGAAGATTCAACGTCCTTCCAAAAGAACGTGTTTTACGGAAAACCATGGAACTGAACCAACATAAGCCCCTGTACCCATTTCAAATAGTGCTGCTGGACTGGATTCCCAAGCAGAAATTTCTCAGATTAAAAGAAGTTCGGGCCGGCACCGCGGCTCACTAGGCTAATCCTCCGCCTTGCGGCGCCGGCACACCAGGTTCTAGTCCCGGTCGGGGCGCCGGATTCTGTCCTGGTTGCCCCTCTTCCAGGCCAGCTCTCTGCTGTGGCCAGGGAGTGCAGTGGAGGATGGCCCAAGTGCTTGGGCCCTGCACCCCATGGGAGACCAGGAGAAGCACCTGGTTCCTGCCTTCGGATCAGCGCAGTGTGCCGGCCACAGCGCGCGGGCTGTGGCAGCCATTGGAGGGTGAACCAATGGCAAAAGGAAGACCTTTCTCTCTGTCTCTCTCTCTCTCTCACACTGTCCACTCTGCCTGTAAAAAAAAAAAAAAAAAAAGAAGAAGAAGAAGAAGAAGTTCAATGAGGCCCACACTGTGGCGCAGTGCTTTAATCCCATATGTGTGCCAGTTCTAGTCCCGGTTGCTCCTCTTCCAATCCAGCTCTCTGCTATGGCTTGGGAAAGCAGGAGAAGATGGCCCAAGCATTGGGCCCCTGCACCCACGTGGGAGACCTGGAAGAAACTCCTGGCTCCTGGCTCTTGACTGGCTTAGCTTCTCAGCTCCAAAGCTCTGGCTGCTATGGCTACTTGGGAAGTGAACCAGAGGATGGAAGACCTTTCTCTCTTTCTCACTGTAACTCTGCCTCTCCAAAAAAAAAAAAAAAAAAAAAAAAAAAAAGTTCAAGTCTAACTTTAGCAGAATTACAGTTTCTCTCTAGATGGCAACAGACAAGACTAGGGCAGTATGCCATCGCTGAGGAGAGGAGAGAGAAATCTAAGCAAAATTTCTGTCTTTTTTTATTTAGACATACAAAAAGTGGCCCTGTTTGGAAACAAATGTAAAGATCAACAACACTTTTTCTCTTTCTCACTTTTTCTTTTCTATTTAACAACACAAGGAGGTTCTCTCCTGTGTTCAAGGAAAACAGATGGCAAATGAGACCACTGGTATTTGAAGGTCAGAGTCTCCTTCTGAGCCAAAGTCGCCTTGACCGAAACAGTGTTCCGCCTGTGTGGGAGGGGCTGTGTTTAAAAGCTTTCCAGTCCATCACACAAGATTGAGCACCAACGCCCTGGACTCTGTTTGCCAACCCCACCCTTTCATGTTAGTAGGTTGGTGTAGTAGTTCCAGATCACCTCGAAACTTTGATGAGAGCTGTAGGAAGTTTTTAGAGTTCTTAACAGATCAAACATTACATAGTCTTGATAAATCCCAGAATTCTTACAGGATTTATGTCTTTAAGCGCTTTCACAAACTATTCATCACTAATGTTTCCCAAGCAGTTATGATTTGCCAGATGCTTAGCATATATTAATTGGTTTAATCTGCATAATCATATTTGAGGGGTACATATGGATTACGATGATGATGATGGTGAAAATGATAAGTAAAAAAGGGCATTGAGCATGGAAATCATTGCTCCTCACAGTCATCCAGTTTAGAAAGTGGTAAGGCCAGAAATTAGATCTGATCTGAGAGTCTGACCCTAGAAGCTATTGTTAACCACTCTGCTGGCCCATCTCCCCAAGGCTCTGCTGTCTACGTAAATTACTATCTATGTAAAATGCAAGTTCCAAGCCATTCCAGTAGAGAGGCTGCAGACACTTGTGCTCTGACGACTCATCCAGCTCACACAGCCCGCACTTTCAGCAGCACTGTTCATCAGTCACTGCCAAGTCCCATTGCTGTAAAGATAATGGACCTTGTCTTACGCACAGCGGCAAGGGACAATTCTGACTCTTTCACCTAGCGACATGGGGTCGAGTGTCCCTTCCTTGAAATGCTTGTACCAGAGCGTTTTGGAGTCTGGAATTTTTACATATGTATAATGAGGTATCTTGGGAATGAGTCCCAAGCGTAAATACGCCATTCACTTAACGTTTGATACGCCTTCCACAACAAGCCTGACAACGCTGTTGGTGCTCTTACACTGAGACCTGCCACTGTCACATGAGACCAGGTGTGAGATTTGCCACTTGCCGTGACCTAGGGGGCTCAAAAGGTTCTGGATTTTCAGATTAGGACTGCTCACTCTTTCCTAACACTGCAAGTGCTCACGAAGACTCCACACATGGGCAGAGACACGGAAGTCCATGGGTTTGGCTCTTACCTGTTAGACTGGCCCAAATCTCGAGACCAACCCAGTCGGGGCCCTGCTGTTGCCCTTGTCCCTCCTCTTTTGAATTCAGGCTCACACATGTCATCTGGGTTGAATGTAGTGGACTGACTTCTCCGAAGTCTGAAGAAGACACAACACACGTTGCTGTATATTAGACCTGAGGAGGCCTCGGGCTTGTTGATTAAAGCACTGACAACTGCTACAGGCACCTGAGCCTCTCCCCCCCCACACACAGCGTGAACACGGGTGATCTGAATGGAAACTGTAACTGAAGCCAAGTGAGTCCCCGAACCCCAATCATAGGAGCCCCACAATTTCACACCCACCTTCAGCCCACGTCCCATCTACCCCTATGACGAGCAACAAATAAGACAGGGCCCACGCAACTTGCTCCCTTGTACTTACTTTCCGAACAGTTTCATGATACCTCTGGATTTCTTTTTGGAATCTGGAGACGGGGGAGAGATCTGGAAGGGACTGTGCCCCTGCGACTCTCTTGGCCGAGAAGACGTACCAGCCAGATCCAGGTGCTCGGATGCCTCCTTTTCTGTCTCAGCTACTCCAAGAACAGAAGAAAGACTCGATGAAGGGTAAGGTAGGGGTGAAACACAATTAGATGTCAACCTTCTTGGTTTTAGCCAATTGAGAATTTTCTTCTGTTGGTCTATAAATGAGTGACTTACAAAGAGCTCCCTGTAAATGCTAAAAATGGAACACGATCCTATGCAGTCCCAAAAGCAGAACACACTTTGAGACCAAAACGATGTGACAGTATCGCTGTCATCTTTCCTTGGATGATGTGAATTCATAATGAAATTATTCTCAGTCCTGCGGTAGTGCCCGGGTCAATCTTCAGAGTCACTGTCTCTTTCACTTCTAGCCTGACGCTGTCCTACGGCAGTCGGCTGACCGGCGTCTCTTGGCCATGGCACGCCCATGTATGCTTTTCCTCCTCCACTCCATGATTCTGCTCCATGCTCCCCGGCAGGACCTCTTGCCAGCTCACCCACTCCGGCTCAGCACTCGCAGATGGCTTTGCTCGTTTATAAGCAGGTGCTGTATAAGCCTCGGGGCTCATTCTCTCTCTCTCTGCAATCCCATTGTCTTAGGGACACACTGCCAATTCAATGTGTCCAGAGATTCTTGGATTCCCCACCACCCAATTCTCCTGAAAGTCTTCTCTCTCTCATGTTCTCTCACTTGATATTTAATTAACTTTAACCAATCATCTCCCTGTCACTCTAGCTCAAACTCTTACGTCATTTTCTTTGTATTCCTTCCTCTCCTCTGGCATTTATAAGAAATCCATTACTGAATTCTAGCAATCCTTTAACTAAGACGTTTATTCCAACCTATGATGTCCTCGGCACCCAGACAACAATGCATTGGATATGCCTAAGTTTTTCTTCTCATAGAAAAGCACTGCCTGTTGATTTTGCCTTCAAAGAACAGTACCCACAAGCGCCATTCCTGGCTCCCCAGGCATTAACTATTTTAGTCTTTCAGCTGTCTCTCTGTGGAACAGCATGGTTTCTTCTATGACATTGTATACTTTATAAAGGAAAAGTTGCACAAAAATCACAGCACAGGGTTTCAGCAGGAAGTCCAAGTCGCAGAGGCTGCCTTTTCTAGGAAGCAGAGCTGTGACTGGTTACAGGTTACGTAAGCAGCATTTGCCTCTTAGCACTGACAATACAGCTCTGAGAAAGATGCATAAAGACGGATTTCCAAACAGTTGCCCCGACAGGTCAGTGGACTGTGTGCATCCGATGCTCGTTCTAGGCTTTTTCAACTACAAAGTGAGAGAAGCCACTTGTGCTGGGTGCGTGCGTGGCTCTGTGGACATCTAAATGAGGGACTAGCGTCTGCTGGGAAAACCTAGTGGCATCTTTCCACTGCACGCCACTGCCGCGATGGGCATGGCTGCTCGCGAGAATGCTGCCTCTTCCGCCCTCACTCAGAAGCTACACAGAATTTTCCTTTTTAATTTTGAGGACTTTTTATGTTTGCCTGCTGTATCTTGCCCTACAAAGAGGAAAAACTGAGCTTAACGTCTCCTAAAATCACAAGGGTGGGGGACGACTGCACAGATGCCGACCTGCACAGTCACCCCTGTCCTCGCTGGGGCTGACTTCCATCTTTGAAGCAATAAGCTATCGGAAGGATGCTCCCCTAGGAGCAGAATGTCTGAAAAACGACCGTCTTCCATGTCTTCCGTCAACCTCTCTGGCTGAAAAAACCCTTCCCTTCGGAGGCTGGGGAGGCCTGGGCAGCCAGTGCGCGGTGCTGTGCTACTAACAAAGGGCGCCCCGGGGCGTCCCTGCCGCATGCACGCACGCCTGGCCTGTGCTCTGACGGATGCTGTCACTTCCAGGTCCGCTGGGAGCCCCTCACAGGTGTCAGGCATTAGCATGGGTTAAAACAGCGTTCGGACCTGGAAGGCTAACAGGAACATTCTGGAATAAAGATCCCTGCTTCCTGACGGCTGCCGGCTCGCTGTCTAGAGACCACCGACGGCAAGCGCAAGGGTTAGAATGTTCCGGAGCACAGCGCTGGCGAAGGGCTGGCATGCACGGGGTACGATACCTAGGGTGGGTGCACTGGCACTTCGATTACGGTCTTCAGAAATCCCCACAACGCACACAATCACACGCAGCCCAATGGAGAGAACACAGGGCGACAAAACGGAACACGGATCAGACTCCTGGCAGGGCCACCCGGGGCGGGCGGGCACGGCGCGCCCCTGCTGCTGCACGCAGGCTCACAGGGGAAGCTGAGGGGACCTGTGCGTCTGCGGCGCGCCGCGACATTAAATCCTCGCACGCCTTCCCCGCGAAGCCCGCCCCCCTTCCCGGCCGAGAGAGACCATGGCGGAAACCAACTTCCGGAAGGCCAGGGCGCAGGCGCGGCGGCCATGCCGCACGCACGTACCCAGGTTCGGCGCGCTCGCCGTCCTCTTGCCGCTCTTTATCTTAAAGAAGCCCCGGCCGAAGGAAGACCTGGCTTTCCGAGTGCCAAACGGGTTGTCGTCGGCGGAGGCCTCGTGTCGCCGGGTTTGGGGCGGCAGGCTCGCCACAGGGCTGCTGTCCCCCGGGGCTGGCTCCTGTGAGAGGGACGACAATGGCCGGGGTGGGCGCGTCAGGACCCGCCGGGCCGGGCGCCCGGCTCCGTGCAAAGTCACTCACGTTCACTGCCGATACCCAGCGCTACCCCGGAGCAAGGGCATCGGTCCCCAGCTCCCACACCAGCAGTGTGGGGAGATTCTACCCCAGTTACTTTCTACATCCTTCTCTAAGAACAACAGAACGACACGGTCATTGTTCATTTTGAGCTGTCAACTGCATTGGCAATGAGAACCATAATACGTTCTGCAGTTTCAGTCTTCAAAGATGGTCTGCTGGTGTGCCTCATTTCTCTCATTTCTCTTGCCCTATGGTTTTTATTATTATTATTGCAGAAATGGAGAGAAGCAAGACGGGTTGGAAGGGCACAAGTACTGGTCATACTGACTAAGTGTATAGTTGGCACAACCAGTGGTATTACTGTGTGTGTCCCCACACTGATGACCAAGTCTTAGACACTTCCCCAACTCACAGCACACAAAGAACTTCGCTGACGGCTGTCGCCGCTGACTGTCCCCGCGAGTTCTACCCACACAGGACAGACACTCAGGCGCTGAGGGCCCAGGGTCATGAGACAGCATCCAGGAGCAGCCCGTGCACCCGACTGGCACCTTTACAAGGTCACATTGGAGAATCAGCAGAAAGAATCAGAGCCCGTGCTGACGTCTTTAGAGGTTCCCAAAGTCTGCCTTATAGATGCAAAATAGTTGCCCGGAGTGAACGGCCTGGGATCTAAGAGGCGGGCTCTCTGTGCAGCCGCAGAAAGCCCTGTTAGGCTCACTGAGAACCACAGGTAGCACTGGGCGCTCAGGGTTTTGTCTTTGTGTTGTGATCACTTGAACAGGTGACTGTCACAGAACACAGCGAACCACTGGCATTCGGCACACCCCGTGTTGTGCTGCCGCCACCACGTCCCGGGAGCTCCCTGACACTGTCGGCTCCGTCTGGTACAGCAGTTTCTCCCCACTCTCCTCCCACCACTGGCAACCCACCGATCGGCCTCCCGTCTCTCTGACTGGTCTCCTCTGTGTATTCCTACCGTAGAATCACTTCGCACGCAATCTCAGTACCTGGCGTCTTTCATCTAACCTGACGCTTCTGAGGTGCTGGGGGTTTTGCTCCACCGGAGACATGTAAGCAATTCACATGGGATGGATGTGGAACATAGTTTCACATTATTATTTGGATATAAAAGTTACCTCAGATGACTTTGAAAGGGACTCCTTCTCCTGTTGGAAACGACAATATACAAGGTTGTTGTTATACATTCAGAATTTGTCACATACCCTTCCATAAATTAAAAAAAAAAATCACATGTACTTCTACAAAATCTTAGTTTCACTTATGTCTTACAATGCTTATTAAGTCTCTATTTGGGGTTTTATGTGCTGCTTTCAACTCCACATATTCATACCTCTTAGTAGTTATCATAACTGTGTTATCTAATTGTTTTCCATTATGAAAGAAACCGCAAATTCTTCTTAAGAGTGTTATTTCCAAAACGGGCAAAGACGAAGATCCCAAAATATTTTCTTCTCAGGGTAACAGACTGGAAAAGAACTCACCCCTTCTGCTGTCTCTTTCTTCAGGTTGCCCAGGCTGCTGGACTTTTGCAGACTCGAAGTTCTAAAAATAACAATAAGAATAATTAGGATTAATAGTAAGTGGCACTGGTGCCACCGCTCCTCAGCAGAACATCTTGGAAACTGCATGTGGGCTGAATGCGAGTAATAAAAGACAATCTGGACTCGGGCAGTCACTTATGTGCTTAACTAAATTATAACACTGAGTTCTTTCCAGAGCAGGGGCGGTTAACTGTCCTGCCAATAACGCTCAATGTCAGAAGAGCTGGAAAAACACTTAGCACCCTCCTTGTGATGTCAACCCTGGAAAATAAGCCAGGGATTGCCATAGACTAATGGTACAGCCTCCGCATCCATACTTATCGATCTATTTATCTCCAGTTCTTCTAATGCAAATAAAGAACGCAAGTTTTCCCAATCGATTCACAAAGTTAGCGCTTTTCGACAATTTTCTTTTTGCTGTCTGCCAAAGCAACTCATTGTAAATTCTGACCAAAGCATAACAGAGGGACCCCAGTTGCTGCTTGTAATATCCCAGGGAAGCCATGTTTCATCATAAACATCTGAAAATCTTTCACACAATCCGTATGTTATTACACAGAGCTGTTCTCACTCAAAAATTGAAGGCAGGGGTATGTGACCAGTTGGAGGAGAAAGAGAGAGAGACAGAGACAGAAAGTGATACGCTTGCTCTAAAAACCAGAGTAATACACAAAAAAGCTTTGAAAAGGTATTTCTTTTGCATTTATGTACATGTAAGTTGCTAGAAGCACCTACTGGCAGAAAAAGTCAAAGATAAACACTGAGCAAAGATCTCATCCCTGAGCACTGCTCTGAAAATAGACTTCCCTAATGCAATGCAGACTGTCACTTGGATAAACATAGATATTAGGGCAGTTTATTACATCGAAAGTGCAAAAATAAAACCATTTCAGCTTTTTTCCAGCCTCACATCATTCTCTGAGATTCTTCTCTGCTGGTCTCAAAACTGTGAGTCCGTACAGAAATGCATTAAAAGCACTAAACTTCAAAGGGAATCTAAGAAAGATCTGCAAACACCTGGCCTGAGCTGATGGTCCAGGGTGAGTACTGCTGAGCAGATTTATGCCCCATACGCAGTCCTTACACAGCACCAATTAATTCATTGACTCAACAGCCTCAGCCACCCACTGCAACACCGGCTACTGTTGGGGCAAGGGTGCCTCTCTTTCTCAAGTTTCAATTCCATTCAATAAAATAAAACTTACAGAAGACCATCAGACAGCTGGGTTTCAGCAGCATTGCCAAGGGTTATTTTTCCATCGCTAACAGACAAAAGAAAAAAAAAAAAAAAGAGACTGTTAACTTCACAAGTAAAAGATCGTATCTATTCTAAGGAAACAGAATTGTCAAAAGTTTATACAAAGGATGCTTTTTCTAGTTTATGATTTCTTCTATTGTATTTAATTTTGACCAGATAAGATTACATAATTTATCTGGGAATATGTTAACCAAAAATTCTATTTGCCTACAGAGAAACCAGTGCAACCCTTCTCCTCTCCTTCTAGGGGCCACATGGTATGTGACAACTACCATCCTGCCTGTAATCCCTTGAGGGTCACTTATGACCTAGGATATGAGACCTAAGTTCCTTCCAATCTCTAACCTGACTGCCCCTCAGCACATTCCTGGCCCCGTTTCCTCTCCCGTGACTTCCTGTTTCACACCTTCGGCTTCAAGGACACAGAACTGAAAACGGGTCCCCCTCCCCACATGCCTTGCTGTTTCTTATTGCTCTGGGTAGAAAGTTCTCTCTGTAAATAAATGCCACAGACGGATCACATTGCTTTTGGTTGACTGACTTTTCCGAACATTCACGTTGTGATGTTAGCTCCTAAGTGACATACTTCTCTTCGAATGAAGCTTCCGGCTTGGAAGGCAACTTGACTTTTTCAGAAGTTTCCATGCTTCCAGGTGCTGGCAGTAATGAAGGGATTGTAACTTGCAAGGTGCTGGTGTGGAACTGTAAGATAATTATGAAAAGTAAAAAAAAAAAAAAAAAAATCACAAATCAAACAAACCACAGAGACACACGACGTGAATAAGATGATTAAACAGTCTGTGGGTAAAATCTCATACACCGTGTTTAGGATTCTATTCTTTATTTCTACTGTTACTTCAGAATAGAAACACCTACATAGAAGTGTGAATCAGAGAAAAGAGGAAGGCAGTTTTTGAACTCGGTTCTGCAGAAGACACTGAATAAGCAAGTTACTAAGAAAACCCTCACCACAGAAAGCCCTAGCTGGACCTCGGCTCTCACACACTTGTCTCAGGGACCTTCCCTGAGTCCCCCCTGGAAGGAGAAGGACAGGCCTACCCCCCAGGGCTGCAATGATTCAGTGTGAGACGTGGCCAACGTGTTTTCCCTTTACTTCCCATACTATACTACTCTCATACAGCACATTGACTGTCATTCTACGTGTGAACTTGTCGACTAATTCTCATGAGCAGAATGGGTGAAAAGGATAACTAAAACCAGCCACAATGTACTCTGCGGCGAACACTCAGAACTCTTGGCTTAATAATAATGATTTTACTGCAACCAGCAAAATGCAAAGCACATTTTTCCCAAAGAAATGCTTGTGCAGCCTAAGGATGGAATCTGTGAAAGAATCCTTTTAAGATGTGATTTTAATTATCATTTCAGGAAGACACACACACACACACACACACACACACAGATAGAGAGAGAGACAGACAGAGAGGGAGAGAGAACCCATCTAGAGGTTCATTCCCTGGATGCCCACAATAGCCAGGACCAGGTCAGGCTGAAGCTGGCAGCTGGGAAGTCAATCCAGGTCTCTCATATGTGGAGCAGGAACCCAATTACTTGAGCCATTACCAGCTCCCTCTGAGACTCTGCATTAGCAGGAAGCTGGAATCAGGAGTGGAGCCGGGACTCGAATCCAGGTGATTCCAACACGGGACACAGGCATTCAACTACGAGGCCACATGCCCATCCTAAGTTTGTGAAGGAATTTTAATACTATGGTTTTGAGTAATTTCTGATAACTGTAGAGTGGTTAGACTGTGGCCCAAATCATGAACCAATACATGAAACACTTTAAGGGATATTCCAGTAAGGAAATGAATAACATGGGCCTCAATGAACTCCATAAGCCAACCATAGCTCCTCACTCCTCAGAGTCTGCCGGGAAAGCAATGTGTACCAGCAAACACAGGTCTACACCCACCCTGCCAACAGTCTCACCTTCCAGTCACATATGTGTAGCTAACACCAACTCACTCCTGCCTCTGAAAGCCCCAAGGCCTTGAGCTCCAGGCCTCCTAAAACCCTACAGACCAACAGCTCCAAGAGAAATGTGCTTGTCCAGAAAGACCTCACTTGCTTAAGTAGGCGATAAATTCAGCTCTGAGACTTCTGGTTCAGCTAGAGTGGTGGGCTCATCCTTTGACACTACAAAACGTTGCAAAATTTGAGTCCACACTATTATAAAATAGATGATTAAAACTGTCAGGGTTTTTATCCCCCCCAACCAGTTTGAATCTTAATGATTAATCCAGGACAGTTTATTTAGCTATCATCCCAGTTTCCTGAAGTTCAAATATCTCCTGGGTTCCTAATCACAGGGAAAAAATAACTACACCAACAGAATGCCCCATTTTCCTGACCTCTTTTTTAAGCTTGAAGGCTTTAACTGCAACCTCAAATATCCCTCCTGGCTTTTCTTTAAAAGCGTGGCTGAACACCCTCAATCCTCATCAAAGCGTCTGTGTTCCAAACTGAAACCCTACCATTAAACTACAATTCAGGATTGGGCGTTGCGTCCAGTGGTTCAGACGTCGGGTACGATGCCCACGGCCACACTGGAGTGCCTGGGTTCGACTCCCGCCCCCTGGCTCCGGACTGCAACGCAGGGAAGGAGCAGTGATGGCTCGAGGAATGGGGTTCTTGCCACCCAAGTGAGAGACCGGGATTGTGTTTCCAGCTCCCACCTTCAGCCTCGGCCTGGCCCCCAACAACCGGGGAGTAAACCAGCAGACGGGCGCTCTCTGTCTCTCAAAAACAAAGTTCCTAAATTCACATCGCAAAGACGTTCTTACGGGTTTTGAGACACTCTGGGTGTAACCCATGACAGTAGCCTCCTGTCTCTATACACTGCAGCCCACCCATTGTCAAACACCCTTGTCCTCTCCAGGATTCAATCCCATTTAACAACTAGGGGGCTTTTTCCCCTAAGTTTTTTCTTATTCCTTAGCTAATCGCGTGGATAACAGCACAGCCTCAGCCTTCTACATTTAAGTGAGAAATGGGGAACTGTTTTCTCTTCCGATCCATCTTCAATTCAAGTTTCATCTTCTCGCGTGATTAACAGCAACAGAGGTGAAAAGTGAAGATGTCACCTGGCTCCTTCTCACCATCTGTGGCAGAATGAGGGGGGAGAGCTGCCCGAAGAAGGCTGTGCTGTTCAACAGAAGGGATCCGAGTCTCCCCAGACAACGGATCACGCTACACTGAAGGCATGCTTCCAGGGCAAAGACGCAGCACTGGGCCTGGCAGGAAGACAGTCAAGGGCGTGGCTGTACAAGGCTTTACGAGACCTCAGGAAGAGGTCAGGCTGTCGGGGAGGAGGACCTGGCAGGCATCTAAGCTCCAAAGCCTTCACCCATGAATGGATAAATGATGGACGGATTAGGGTGGAGGCTGGATCCCAATATGGTGTCTGGAGGTGGGGCATTTCGGAAGTGATCGCATCGGATTAGGTGGCGAGGGTGCAGCCCCATGGTTGAATCAGGAATGCTTTGTAAGGACAGACCGCAGGGAGGAAGAGAGGAAGAGGGTGCTCCCACGTCTCCATCGCCACACCCATGGGGCGACCTGATCTTTAACTGTGCACCTCCCAACTGAAAGCTGAAATGAGCCTTTCCCATCCCAAGAAGCGCCTCCCGGGGCTTTCAGTGCAAGGCACGAGAAGCTGGCTGACGGGGAGGGCATGTCCCGTGGCGGCCTTCCAGGGCACGGAAGGTAGGGGAAAGCTCGCCGTGAAGACACCTGTGGGTGGGTGTGGATTCTAAGTGGATTTAGATGACTCCTCAAATGTTTCGAGTACTATAATAAATCACACTCAAAGGGACAGAGAGAGAGCAGAGAACGGTTTTTTTTGGACTTCCGTGGGGACTTCTGCAGGCAGCAAGCTGAGAAAACCAGTATGCCGCACACCCAAGCTCCTTTTGCAGGAAAGGAAGGGGGAAGTGGGAGGAAAAACCAAGAGGCCAGAAGACAGGGCCCAAATACACAGGAACCGGCTGCATGCCTGCCGAATTTAAGGATCATCATGGACGAGTGACAGCCGTGTGCCTCCCATATCCTACTAGGAATGCCTAAGGAGCAGTGCTGTGCAGTTCGCATCACTGAAGGCTGGGCATGGGCGCAGATAAGCTGTACTTGCAGTTCCCAGCTCTTTAACAGGTGGCACTAATGACGCTTGCACCCGATGAACGATCCTGGGCACTTCTGTCTTCATCGGATGTGAGTGAGGAGATTCCGGGAGCTGAGGCCTCACTGGTAGAATGAGACTCATGGGGGAGAATGAGCACATTTTGCATGAGAAAGGGACACCATTTGTTTTAAAAGGTTTCTTTTACGTATTTGAAAAACGGCAGAGTGACATACGAGAGAGAAGAGACAGGGAAATAGAGAGATCTTCTATCTGCTGGCTCACTCCCTAAAATGGCCACAATGGGTGCAGCGGGGTCAGGACAAAGCCAGGAGCCTGGAACTCTATCCAAGTCTCCCAAGTGAACAGCAGGGGCCCAGGCACTTGGGCCATCTTGTACTGCTTTTCCAGGTGCATTAGCAGGGAGCTGGATGGGAAGTGGAACAGCTGGGACTCAAACTGTATTCCAAATGGACACGGCTGTGTTGTAAAGTGGCAGCTTCACCTGCTGGGCCACAAGGATAGCCAAAGACATCAGCTGCTGTAGCCAGAGCAACAGACTGCAGCCTCCAAATACATCGGCACCAATCATCCCACCGCAGGTGCTCCTGCACTGCCGTCAGTCCTCCAACCAGAGGCAGGCTCTGCGCTCCCTCTCCTTCAATCTGGTGGCCTACGACTCTGGCAGAAGTGATACTACGTGGCTTCTCAGATACATCACAAAAGGTGGTGGTGCCAATTTGCCTGATGCTCTCACGACGGCCACCCTTAGGAACCAGCCACTCTACTGTGAGGGTCAGGCAGTCGCCTGGATTGTCCTGGCTTGGCTTCTGCTGAGGTCTCAGCCAATAGACACGTGAGTGAGCAGCCCTCAGGTGACTCAAGCCCCCGTCTTCCCGCGAGTCCAACTGACACCACGTGGAGCGAGGAGGAGCTGTTCCTGCTGAGCCCTGCCCCTGTGCAGATTCAGCAGCAGGACTGCCACGCTGTCATTCAAGCCACAAAGTTTCAGGGTCGTGTACAACAGATAAGAAACAGATGCTGGTGCCGCTGTGATGCAACGGATGTGAGTTCAAGATTATTTATTCTGTGGCGTAGTGGGTTAAGCCACAACCTACAGCACCAGCATCCCATATGGGGTCCAATTTGAGTTCCAGTTGCTCCACTTCCAATCCAGCTCCCTGCTAATGTGCCTGGGAAATCAGTGGAAGATGGCCCAAGTGCTTGGGCCCCTGCACCCACATGGGAGACCAGGAAGGAGCTCCTGGCTTTGGCCTGGCCCAGCCCTAGCCATTGGTGGTCATTTATGGAGTGACTCAGTGGATGGAAGATTTCTCTTTCTCTTTCCCTTTCTCACTGTAACTCTGCCTTTCAAATAAATTTAAAGATTATTTATTCCTTTCTAGTTGCTTTTTCTAATTCTAAAGTGAGAGGGTAATTTTATTCAATCCCCTCAATCCTCTTTTGGCATCACCAACAGAAGCAACTAAAATCAATTTATTTATATAATCCCACTTTATCCCTGCTTTATTTATTCCCTACTTGTCCCTTAATAAGTAAGTTTTAACCTCATATTTAAGATGATATCTGTCTCCAAGGGATTCCAATGTTTCTCCAGAATTTTAAAAGCAATTTTGACAACTGCCCAAGGCACTTATTAAAGAGAAGGAAAAACCACACACTAAAAAACAAACAAAAAAGACCAGTAGGACACAGAAATGGCAATAGCAACCCACGTCACTAATGGAACTGAGAAAAGAGCCCACGTCTTCCTTGTTTTAACTCTCAAAGACAGCGACAGTAAGAAAGTGTTCAGAGTCATAAATACCTCTTCTGGAACACTCGTGTTAAATGGGTCGCAACTGGGAGACCCCATCCCAGGGGTGGGCGAGGGGCTTTTCTCCACATCACTGAAGCCCTGAGCGTCCAGCAGGGTAGAGACGGAACTGGAATGGAGCAGGTCGTCATAGTCACCATCTCTGCCTGGGAACAGACAAAGCACAAGGAATACAAGGATCCCATTTATGTCTCCCGGCATTACCTGGGAAACAGCAGCTGGGAGCACTCAGCCCTTATAGTCAGCCAGCAAGGCCACAGTTGGTTCTATCACAGTCTCCCAAGACGCAAGAGAGTTAAAAGTTACTTGATTTTGCAATCCTCCTACTTAAAACCCTCCTAATTTAAAACGCTTGTTTTAAAATTGGGGGCTTTAGGCATTTTAGTTTAGAAGTAACCGGGTGAGGAATACCTGGTACAACAAGCTATTTCGGAAGAGCAACAAAGTCACCATTGAAACAACTCAGTTTTCACCGAGCTCTGCAGGAAAAAAAAATCACAGGAAGGAAAAAAAAAATAATAAGACAACAACTGATCCCTCTAGAGGATCTCTGTATTTACCTTGTAAATTTTATGTATTTACTGGAGAGAGGGAGAGCCAGCAAGTGCTCCCAATCTGCTGGTTCCCTCCCCAAAGGCCCACAACAGCCTGGTGGAAGCTGGGAGCCAGGAAGAACTCCCACTGGGTTTCCCACGTGGCTGGCAGGGACCCATGCACCTGCGCTACGACCCACTGCTTCCCAGGGTCCAGGTTAGCAGGAAGTGGGCGCCAAGTGCCAGAGGAGCAGACTCGGACCCAGGTATTCCCATAGGGGAAGCATTTTAGCTGCTAGGCCAAATGCTTACTCCTTTTTATGTCACTGCAAAGCAGAAAGAACAACCTAACAGAGAAAAGCAACCACGCACCCAGCAAAGCACCTATGAGATATTATTACATCTCTAGAAATAAAAAGGAGCAACCAAGTGCCGGATTTTGTTTTGTTTTGTTTTGTTTTGTTTTTAAACAATGAATGATGTTCAAAACTCTTCTCTGAATAAGACTAAATGGCAAGGGACACATATTTAAAGAGTTTAACCAGACCATGACTTCCTAATTTAGATTTCACCAGGGTCTTACTAGAATTTGGATGCTATTGGTGCAAGTGTTGTTGTGTAGCAGGTTAAGCCACCAACCGTGACGCCAGCAAACCACATGGGCACTGGTTCAAGTCCTGGTTGCTCTACTTCCAAACCAACTCCCTGCTAATTAGCCTGGTAAGGCAATGGAAGATGACCCAAGTGTCTGGCCCCCTGCCACTCACGTAGGAGACCAAGATGAAGCTCCTGGCTACTGGCTCTGGCTGTTGCAACCATATGGGGAGTGAACCAACAGATGGAAGATCTCTCCCTCTCTCCTTTCTCAGTAACTCTGCCTTTAAATAAATAAGTAAATCTTTAAAAGAAAAAGATTTACATACTATTAGAATTGTGTGAGGTCTAATTTTAAATCCTAGTAAGAAATCATGGTTTATGTTAACTCTTCAGTGGGACAGCACAGAATTTTGAATAGTTTATGAAATTCTATCTTGTTGTACCTGGGTAAAAGCTACCTCTTTTATCTACATGTCCACATGCACAGAAAAGAGAACTACACAAAAGAAGAAAGATGAAAATGCTAGGGCCGGCACTGTAGCATAGCGTGTAAAGCCACCGCCTGCAGTGCCAGCATCCCATATGGGCACTGGTTCGAGTCCCAGCTGCTCCACTTATGATCCAGCTCTGTGCTATGGCCTGGGAAAGCAGTAGAAGATGGCCCAAGTCCTTGGGCCTCTGCACCTGCCTGGGAGACCCAAAAGATGTTCCTAGCTCCTAGCTTCGGATCAGCACAGCTCCGGCCGTTGTGGCCAATTAGGGAGTAAACCATTGGATGGAAGACCTCCCTCTCTCTCTCTCTCTCTCTCTCTCTCTGCCTCTCCTTCTCTGTGTAACTCTGAGTTTCAAATAAAAAAATAAGTCTTTAAAAAAAAAAGAAAATGCTATCATGGGGGCCCAATGCTATGGTACAGCAGGTTAAGCTGCCGCCTGCGATGCCAGCATCCCACATGAGCACAGGTTCAAGACCCAGCTGCTCCTCTTCCAATCCAGCTCCCTGCTAATGAGCCTGGGAAGGCAACGAGAAGGCCCAAGTGCTTGGGCTCGTTCCACCTGCATGGGAGACCCAAAAGAAGCTTCTGGTTCCTGGCGCCTTATTTCAGTGTGGCCCAACCCAGGCTGTGCTGGCCATTTGGTGAGTGCACAAGCAGATGGAAGATCTCTCTGTGTTTTCCCTCTCTCTCTATAATTTTACCTTTCAAATAAATACATAAATCTTAATGAAAGTGCTATCATGATCTCCGAGTGCAATGAAGGGGGATTTTCACCCTTTTTCTATTTTCCAAATGTTTTACAACGCAGTCCAGTTATAGGATTGACTCTTTCTGCCTTGGGATGCAATGTAAGAATTGCAGAACTGAAATTCTATAAAATCAAACAATATTTTTCAATTTTACATAAGTGAAAAAGTAATCACTCCCAAACTTGCAACTTTCCATAAGAGAGAGACTCTTTGGTAGGCATGGGAAATGCTGAGTGATGAGATTTGCCACATCAATGCATTGATAATCAGAGTTTCATCTGCTCATTCAGATACTGATGACATTTTAATAACAGCCCAGGCCCTGTGCATCAAAAGATGGAAACCCCAATGCAAAACAGCGTTTTCCTTCTGAGTGAACTCAACAAAATTAAAACTGCAAAATCTGAGTGTTGCACAACTGCCTTGGAAAACACCTGTTTATTCCTAGTGATCATTGGAGCAAATAACTACAGGCTGTCACCAAACAGGGCCCTCTGGGAGTGTGTGACACTTCTGTATTTTTGATGGCTCTTCAAGGCTTTTCTACACTTGGGCATGACCAACAGTCTCATCCGCAGATAAAATAAGAAGAAACACAACGAAATGCACATCTAACTTCACTGGCCTGTCTTACAGGGCTCTTTGAACTTGATCTGCTCAAAGCTAACTCAAGCCTCCTTCACCATCCCAAGACTCCTGTTAGTAAAAGGAACATCATCTGCCTAGTTGTGTAAGTCATAAACGCCTTCCTTGGTTTTCCTCCTCTTCCTCCCTCTCCTTATCTCATCCATCACACCACGGTGTCGAAGGCAGCAACACAGTGCATTTCCAATCAGCACCACCAGGTGGCTTCCTCTGCACCAGTGCAGGAGTATCTGCTGTCTTTTCCCCCAAGTCCAACACCGGTCCCTGCCCCGAGTCTCCATCTGGTACCCAGAGCACACTTCTGGAACCCTTCAGTGGATCCCTCTGTGCCTCAACAAGAATGGAGCGCCTGACTCGGCCACCGCATACCTCGGTGATCTCACCAGCTTCTGGCCATAAGGATCTTCCTACACTCGGGAAACCTTGCTCCTTCTTCCATGGGCCCTCTGCACGCACTACTTCTCTCTCTCTCTCTCTCTCATCAGCTCCTTAGAGAGGGCACTCCCAAACCAATCTCTTCAACAGAGAACAATTGCTTAATGCCAGTGTTCCACCAGTGAACGAGCTCACTAATTTGGGACAATGGCTACAATTTCTGAAGGAAACCAGAACCAAAGCCCAAGTTCATGGCCACTTAAAAGCCAAGTGAGGTCGACAAACCTGGACAGCCGCAGCTTACCTTGCTTACCCTGGGCCGATCCCATTGGGTCTTGCATTTTCTTGTACCTGTTCAGGCACTGCCGAAGATCTTCTATTTTCCGATCCTGGGAATGAAACAAGTGATCATCTTTGGCACTGTGATTACAAAACAGCAAACTGTGACACAAAGAATAAGGAGACGCAAATTATTTACATTATTCAAAGATTACTTCTAAGCTTTAGTAAAACTGGTAGCATCTAGAATGGTTTTCCTACGTACGTCAGAGATATGGAAAAAGTACCTCTAAATTTAGAGATCCTATCCTTCAGCTGCCATCTTTAAAAACAAAAACAAAACAAGGTAATAAGATACAAAACAAAACGAGGAAAAAAAAATCAGCTTTAACCACTCTCCTGCCTTAAGCTGAGTCTGCCATGACCCGCACACACTGTCTCTATCAGCCATCATCAGTCACCACCCGGCTCTTCCCTTCCTGAGACTCTGCCCACGTTGCCTGGATGAGCCCTTGGCCTGTCCGTGAAGGCACCTGTCACCGCTCCTCTCATTGCCCCTCTGCGGTGCTTGCCCGAGTCCACCATTCCGCTCGACCTTTACTTGTATCCACCTGTTCCTTTCTTCCGTTTTGACTTCTGCCTTCCTTGCCCTGATCCTGTTTCCATGATGCCTGCTTTCCCAGCCTGACTGTAACGTGTCAGAGCCTCAGGGCTCTCTCTCCACCCTCTTCCCTTTCCCCATCCCTTGCCTGTGCTCGGGGGCTGCTCCGCCGCAGGGTCTGGGCCTGGCCACCTGACTTGCCCTGCCCCTTGGGAGGGCAACAGGGGCTGGACCATGGGAAACAACCATCGTGGCCTGTCCCGGGGCAAGCTGTGTGGTTTATCTCAGAACACTGTTGCCTCACCAACCACAGCTTGGTCCCCTCCAACCTCCAACCCCCCACTTCTCCCAAACTTCACACGGTATTCCTTAGATGTACCTGTCATTAATTCTAAAATTCAGATTCATGTCCCAACATTCAAGGACAACATGTCCCCTGAAATCCCTCAAACTGAAGAGGCCTAAAATCATGGCCAGCGCTTAGTAAAATGGCAATTGAATCATGTCCTCGTCCAAGGTCCACAGACTTAAGACCCCCAAATGGCGAACCTGGCGTGCCAAGCCACCTGCCCTGTGGCTGAGCTCTCTGGTCAATCCCAATCACCTGTCTCGCATGCCCCAGCACCTTCCCAGCATGCAGTGGGCTGTTTTGAGCCTGGGTTTCACCATGCATTTTGGCCATAGATGTTTCTCCTATGGGCCTTCATTTCCACCTCTTGCTCGGCCTAGAATATGCTCAGACTGGTCCTCTTGGGTGCCTGGGGAATCCCCAAGGAGTGTGGGGTATTCCTGACTCTCCTGCAGCAGTCTGAGCGTCTGAAAAGCCCTCACTCACCACTGGAAGGTTTTTTTGTTATTGTTGTTGCTGCTTTTCCATGAAGAAAAATCAAAAGGAAATGGATTTCAGTGATTTAAATAATAAGAAGCCATGGTAGGCTTCCTGATTTCTTTACATTCAATAGTGGAAAAGAAAAGAAGAAAGAAAACTCTATGTAGGTGTGTGGGTAAGACAATGAACAATTATTTCTATAAAATAACCAAAATGAAAGGCAAAAGTGAATAAGGAGTAAGAAGAGGGGGCAGGAATTGGAGGAAGAAACTGATGAGCAGAGAAAAAGAGCAAGCCACAGTTCTTGGCATTTTGTTTACTTCCTCACGATCACTCTTTCCCAGGGATAAGGGACAGGGCTGAGCCTGGGAGCAGCCGCCAGCTGGACACTGGGGTGGTCGGAGAAGCCAGAGGAAAACACGGTGTCTCAGCAGCGGACTGCACCACTAGGCAGGGGCATCAGAGCGCCTGCTGGAGGGAAGGAACGCCTGGGGACCACCTTCAGGCCGGGGCAGGTAAATAAACCTGGGCCCGAACCTTGCTTCCTGGGGCTTGCACCTGCTTTCTGGAATTTCGCCTCTCTGGACGGCAGGAACCATCCCACACATCGTAGAGGAGTACGACCCGAATATACAGAACCATGTGACAGTCTCACATTATCTAAATAAACTCATGGGGACAAGGCGCTGTCAGTGCACCTAGCACGGCTGTTCCCTGCTCCTTGGGGACAACTGCCGTCGCTGAGGGTGGCGCTGCCGGGTGGGACAGACAATGCTTGGCACTCGACGCCAGCAGCATTTGGGGTAGAGTTCTTCCCCAGTGACAGAGTGCAAGAAACCACGTGAAATGATCAAAATGGTGCGACATCCACACGGACCGCTAAACGCCATCGCGATACCTTTTCTTCATTCGCTGCCATGAGAGACTCCACGGCCTTTTTCATTTTTTGGACTTCAATATCTGCAAACCACACAACATTAATCGGAAGTCAGTGGGGTTAACACGGATGACGATGACAAGAAGCTACTCACACTCCAGACTGAAATGTTTTAAGGGGAAGACGTTCATGATTTTTGTCTGTTTTTCTAAAAGACAGGGAGCACATTTGGGACCCAGACTCGGTTCTGGGGGAAATGTGGAGGATGAACACGTGTCGTTCCAGAAAGAAGAGAAGGCTGTGTGAGTGCCCACACCCCTCCCTCCCAGCCCAACACATCCATCACGAGAATGCTGGAGACAGAATCTTGAGTGCTGTAGTCACAAAACGACTGAGTTTCCAGGAGAGAAACCTGGGTAGCAGGAGGTGAGGGCGATGGACAGCTGACATGATGATAGAAGCAGGGGCAGTGATGCTCAGTCGTGCCCCAGAGAGACAGGAAGCCATCAGCGTGGTGAGTGCGATGGTGACGTGATTCGTGCTAGGCAGTGGGCGCAGGCCCCATTCACGGGGTCGTAAACGCTTTGCTTCATCCATAAACTTCATTTCCAACATGATTCTAAAGCAGGCTTCGAGATACCAAGGCCAACGGAAGCCTAATCTCATTTCCCTCACACATTTGATTTTCAAATACGAAAGCGTGTTATTTTAATGAAAGAAAAAAATTCAAATACATTAAAGAGGCAAAGTTACCCCCAAAGCAAAGCCACAAATGAAAACGCTGAAACACACAATTTATGAAAATGTTTTCAATGCTGGTATTTTGCCTGACAACCATTACATCTGTAATGAAGACAGATTCTACAGGAATTGCCTTCTTTCACTTTTTGAAGGCAGACTTACTGGATTTAGTAATTCAACCTCAGGGAGCAAAGAGCCAGGGAAAGATTTTTCTTTGTGTTGCATTAAATGATCCAGGCTCCGATCAGCAGCCTGAACACAATCCCTTTGGCACCACCACAGGGAAGGTCTCAGTGACCCAAGGGCACTGCAAAACACTGAGAAGCAAGGCAAAAGTGTAAAATGATCTTTCAGCTCCGCTAAATCTTAAAACCAGTAGGTTTCCACGGGATGAGAAAGGTTGTTTTCTCCTCTGACCCCCTAGCACCTGACCACAGAGAAAACATTGTCTTATCTCTACCACCCTGTGTGCCCTCTCGTATCTCGCGGAGCAAAAGGGCTGAATCAGGGGGAAATGTGCAAAAATGAAAATAAAAAAAAGTTACACGTCCCTTGTCTTTAGGGTCCCTCTGTCTACCCTTGGTTTTGCCAGCTCTGAGGAAATGGAGGGCTTATTGATGAAGCAACTTGATGCCACTGGAGAGAGAAATGTTTTAAAACTCATGCAAAGAGTGGTCCGGGCGGAACTACGGGCAATGGAGAGGTGGATGGAAACACGCCAAAAACCTTACTTTTTTCTTTGAGCTTCTTTTTAAAATTTTCATCTGTGCGGGAAAACCCATTGAATGGCAAGTTAGCAAACGTGAGCACAGTAAAAAGTATTTAATATCACTTAGCTTCCTTGCATCAAAAATAAATGGACCCTAACCTCACAGAGAATGAATCCCCAGCACAACTCTGTAGCTTACAATACGCAGTACACCAAGCGAGGTTACAGGAGCTAATTTCTATTAGTCACTTGACTTGTATCAATCAGAAGGCCCAAATCTGTTTTCCCTTTCTCTTTCACTTCACCTTTATGAACCCCGATTCGTCGTATCAGAACTAAGTTGACGGGGCACAGCGCTCTGTATGCTGCACGTGGTGAAAACGTGGTTTTGTTGCTATGGTTGTCTTCTCCATCTCCATTGCAGCTCAATACACAGTCCTTCCAGATGCGACTGGGACACTGCGGAGTCACAGCCGACTCATGGCTCAAGCCAAGGTCCCAAACACCTGGTCTCAATCCTTGCGTTCATCCAGTCGGGCACCGGCAACCAGCAGTTCACACACTGGCTCCAGCCCTCGTGACACACACCTCTACACGTGCCAGCGGCCCAGAGGGGTGGACACCTCACTGCACTTGGGTTTGATGAACTGAGTTTTCTGATGCACGGAGAATTGACACCCACGGGGATGGAGGCCGTGGTATCGTAGAGGCAAGGAAGATTCGACTGGAGCTAGTTCAAGTCTCTCACAGCACAGACGGTAACGTTGGCGATGCTCACCTAGCAGATCAAAATGCGCGGACTAGAGCATGTTTTGTTTTGGGTGGGGCAGACCTTGCTTTGGGCCCTCGTCTGTCAGTCATCATTTGGGATCACAGAGAAAAGCTGCATTCGACCGGTCATTGCCAGGTGTTCCAGCCCTTACAGAGATCAAATTTCTAAAAAAAGCCCATGTTCATTCAAGTTACTTTCTATCATGTATAACCTACATTTTCATAACTGAACCTCCTCAGTTAGCAAAAACATTCTGGAGAAATTCATCCATTTTTTCCAAAGACAGAATCAGTCGATTTTTGTTTTCCAAGACGTTGAGGGCTCCGCTCATGCTGAGAAATTTTGAATGAAGCCATTCCTCGCTTCTCTCAGAAGAGCAGGAACCGTTTCTAAAATCTTTATCGGCTCCTGGCTCAAGTTCAATTTCAGAGGAACACAGTCTTGGGTCATAGGCACGGTGCCTTTCAGTCCTCGTGACGTCTCCTGGTGCTGCAGCTGGACAAGGATGTCCCCGAGATGTGTGCGACGGCTGGGCGGTGGAGAGTGAACACGGCGCAGGTGCAGAGCAAGCTGCGGCTGCCCAGACACAGGGCGGAGCTTGAAGAACTCCTAGGGCCCTGGCTGCCCCGGCTTCTGGGACCTCCCTTGTCTTTGATGCTAAAGATGCACCCCCCACATCAGTTTCCTTCTCCAGTCTGGAAGGCTGTCCCACGGCAAGACAGAAAACGCCCACTGCGTTCTTACCTCTGTCCAGAATCTCGACCCCCTCTCCTCTCATCCTGCAGGCCAGCTTCTCCTGCAGCCTTTTGACCTCACACTCCTTCTCTTCCAGCTGCTCTTTCAGAGACGCCAGCTCCTCCTACGAATCACAGATTCGTTTTACAACACACGATGCTCAAAAGGAGAACATGTCAGCTCTTTAAATCAATGTTTAGACTGTGCAAGCGAAACGAAAATCTACAAGAATTTAGACACAAACATCAGAAATTCGACAGTGGCAATGAACAGCAGGAAGCAAGACTATGAATTATGCCCAACTTGCAATAATTCTGGTACAGTTATTTCAAGTTTTTTTTTGCGAGTAGAACAAAAAAGAAATATTTTTAAGGTATAATTAGGGCTAGGATGGCCCTAAAGTTTCAATCTTAAATATGTGACCAAGGTAATCAATAAAGACAATCAAATTAAATGCTTGGTGTCACAAAAAGCGAACGAAAATGCAAACTGAGAAAGACATCCGGACATGTTCTGGATGGCACTCATGCTGACTGGACAAGCACAGAGCTTAATTAGCGGCCAAGGCAGCAAGTCCTTTGGCCGAACTGTGCGGCCAAGGAATTCATCCTGATCACTAAAGGAAAAGGAAAGAACCTCCTGCAACAATGGGGGAAAATAAAAACCCAGCCAATGCAGAGACCCATATGCCCTTTTGTTTATTAACAATAAATGCGTGTTGGCTGTTTTCTGTTTTGCTGGCGGAACTGAACATGGCGAGAACCGAGCCACGTGATGCTAAAAGGATGCCTTTATGTTTGCTAGGTTATCTTCAGGGTCTCCAGGGGGAATGACATTTAGTGCCGTGAGAACAAGCAGCCTGCTCACGAGCCACGAAGTCCTAGGGTTCTGACCTATGGTGGGCGTGGACAGCAAGTCCCCCAAACCTGCAAACCTCCCGCAGCCCTTAGCAACAAGGGCAACCCTGCGCCCCCCAGGCTGCTCCTAAGCGGCAATTCCTAGTCCCTGCCAGCAGAGGTCACTGCTGTACACAGTCCCCCTCCAGCAAGACCTGCAGGAGGAAGGCTTGAAACACAGTTCTTTTACTGGTGAACTTGAACAGTCCCAGAGGTCTTCAAAAAGTCCATGGAAAACACCAAGTAGGAGAAAACGAGGCGTGAATCTCAAAAAAAATTTTTGCACCAAAATAAACTTATATTTGATTCTCTTTGCCACCAACGTTTTGAAGGATCCTCCTGTTTTCACCACACTGGGGTCTCAGAGAGTCTAAGAGATTGCAATTTCATGTATCTCATCTGTTTTTTTTTTCCCCTCTCATTATTTCATATGTTCCTGCACACAGGACTGGGAAATCCCATCGCCCCTTTCATCAGCTTTGAAGGCATTTGTCACGGACAGGTGAGAACACACAGCACGAATGCACACGCCACGAGAGACACCGTCACAGCAAAGATGACACGCGCCAGCAGGCGACAGGCCACGGCGCCCATCACCAGCGGGTACCACACCTGCAGGGACGCCCACTTTTGCTCCATCCGCTGCTTTTCATACTGCATCTGACCAACTCTGATTTTCATGCTAGAAAGTTTGGCCATTAGAGACTGGGAGAGAGACAGAGGAGGGAAAGAAAACTACAGGTAGAAAAAGACAAGCTCAGTAACCAAGAAAACAGCATCGGCTTCTAGAGGAGGGTGGGTGACCCATTCTGGAAAGGAGGTGAAACTTGGCTTATGTTAAAAGGGGCGTGATTCAATTCAACAAAGGTTCCATCCAGCTTGGCGGAGACACTTAGTGCGCTGGTAAAGTACCTCTTTATCAGATACCGAGCAGGAAACATATTTGACTTCTAGTACTGGTCACAGTTAAATAGTGGAGCCCTTTGCGTACAAATTCTTCCTGGTGAGAGAACTTACTTTGGTGGACTTGAGCTTCTTTTCGTACTGAAGTTTTTCGTTGTCCATCTCAGTGACCTTCAACCTCAGGTCACTGATCTCCTGAACCAGCCCCTGTTCAAGGAAAGAAGGAAATAGGTCAGGAGAGCGCAAGTGCACTTCTTCGTCCCAGATGGACAGCTTGGGGGCTGGCACCGTGAGGCACGCCGGGTTCAGCTGCCACGTGGGATACTGGATGCCATTCTGAAATCCAGTTAGAGTCCCAGCTGCTCCACTTCCCATCCAGCTCCCTGCTAATGCACCTGAGAAAGCAGTAGAGGACGGCCCAAGTGCTTGGGTCCCTGCACCCACGAGCAAGACCAGCATGGAGCTCCCGACTCCTGGCTTTGGCTTGGCCCAGCCCTGGCTGTTGCAGCCATTTGGAGAGTGAACCAGTGGACAGATGATATCTCTCTGTGTCTTTCCCTCTCTGTCACACCAATGAAAATAAATATATATTTTTAAAAGAGCAGCTTAGGAATAGAAAGCTTAAGAAGTCAACAGCCCTAGGATTAAAGTTATACACATCAGATCAGAGAAATGGAAATAAATGTAAAATCTCATGGGACATGGAATTTTTCCCATAATACAGATTTCCATGAACTTTTAAAAAGTGTTCTCTTAAATCTTGAAGAAGCAAACCATGTTTCCATGTAAAAGGCGGCTGTAAATCCCCAGTGCCTGTGCCCTGGAGAGGCGGAATCCCCCACACAGAAGGTAATGACAGTTCAGATGAAGCAGGATGGCTAACCCCTGCCTTCCACTTCCCAGGTGTCCCTAGACTCAGTTGGACGGTATGGAATCTGTCTTTTCAAACACACCGCACAGGTTTCCTCTGGCAAAGCCATTTTCCCTGAGGGACTTTTCCAGCAATTTCTAGGTATCTATAAAATTATACTTTGATTTTCTTTCTTTTCTATAAAAATAAAGATCAATCATCAACTCCATCTGGGAAGAGGGGAATAAAATTAAAATCCTTTGAAGCAAAGGTCCTCAACTTGAAAGATGAGGGCCCTGTAACAGTTTGCACACGTATTCAATATCATATTACAATTTTACATTTGGAGCGCCAAATGGCAATCCTACCATGTTAGTAACACAGGGCAGCTGGATGCCTTTTGTACTGCCACTCAAAGAAATAATACTGGTTTGTTTGTAAAACACGTGGGAATATTCCCAGAGATCCTGGTGCATCTTTGCCCAGAGCTCAGAAGGCAGAAAAAGGAAATCAGATTGTTGAAGAAGACCAACTTGCCTGGGAGAGAAGCCCATATGCTGTGTGGGAGACGGCTTTTGTTTATTTTACTACAAGCCTGCAATGGTTCATGCACTTCTGTCCCTCTCTCTTCACAAGCCACACTGCTGGGTCACAAATTCAAACACCACACAACAGAATTATACAAGAATGCAAAGCAAAACAATGCCACCAGAAATAAAACTCTGCTAACAAGAGCATAATGATTCAAACTCACAAGGCCTAGAAAAAGGGAGGCTACAGTGAAACACTGCCCAGCAAAAGCCCACAGGCTTTTAAAGTGCAGTTTCTTAAAAAACAGGAGAAACTACTACCTACAATCATTGCATAATTATACATTTAATCATCCTATAAAGCTACAGTGAGAGAAGGGGTTTTCTCCTCTACTCAGTGAGGCCAAGAACTACTTGGCAATATTAAAAGCACATCATCTGCAAGTTCAGAATCCAAGTTCAAAGAAGAGATGCTTCTTCCATTTATTTAAAGGAATCATCTCTGTGCAGTCAGCATCCCTGGCGATCTTCATTCATCCATCTGCACTTGCGAGTATGTGTTTTCCCACGTTCTCCCTGCCAACAAACAACTTCCAGTTCCTATCATGCAGCACAGTCACCACCTGTTTCACAAACAGTGCTGGTTTTCAAACAAGAAATAGATGAAACGGAATTATTATAAACTGGAATGATTTTTTTTTTCTATTTAAGAAAACGACCCAATTCTCTTCTGTAGTGACGCTTTTAAACATGAATTTACAACCTGGAAGAAGTCAAATCTTTTCATGAACCCTTATGCTAGAAATTCTGAAAATAGTGCCTTAGTGAGAAAAAAAAATAATGGAATATAGATTAGTTCAACTGATTTTATCAGAAGCTCAGTCTTTTGAAAAAAGGAAGAAAATTCCTCTTTCAGGCTCCCACCAGCAACTCCACCCCTGACACCTGTGTTCCTACCAGAAGGGGGCACTGTTGGTCAGGGCTAACCATCTCCAGGCAGCAGGCCCTGGGCCAGCAAGGCCTGAACCTTCCAGGCTCTGAAGCCTTTATTTCTCTCCTTTTCCAGCATTTCCTTAGACATGAGCATCCAAGTAACTCAAAATTCTGGGACCAAGTAAAGGGTGCTGGATGCAGCCGGCAGCCAGGAAAATGTTTCCTTCCCCTCCCTCATTTTTTTGATGCGTACTAGAAATGCTGTCCCTTTTTTTTTTTAACTTAATATTTTGTTTACTTACTTATAGAAGACATATCTTTAATGTGCATTATAGTCAAAGACTTAATGGTTCTACTAAATAAAGAGTTCTACACACAAAAAAGTAAAAAAGACCACAGCCCAGCAAGGAAGATAGTCAATGACTGTGAACAGTCATAGAATAAAAAAAAAATGTTTGGGGCGGGCACTGTGGTGCAGAGGGTTAACGCCCTGGCCTGAAGCGCAGGCATCCCATATGGGCGCCAGTTCTAGTCCCAGCGGCTCTTCTTCCGATCCAGCTCTCTGCCACGGCCTGGGAAAGCAGTGGAAGATGGCCCAAGTCCTTGGGCCCCTGCACCCACGTGGGAGACCCCGGGGAAGCTCCTGGCTCCTGGCTTCAGATCGGTGCCGCTCTGGCCATCGCAGCCATTTGGGGAGTGAATGAGCAGATGGAAGACCTCTCTCTGTGTTTTTACCTCTCTCTGTAACTCTGTCTTTTAAATAAATAAAATCTTTAAAAAAAAAAGTTCAACTTCACTCATACACAAGTAAATTTTAAAATGGCCACAAAAATCATTAAAACAATATTAGTGGCCGGCACCCCAGCTCACTAGGCTAATCCTCTGCCTGCGGTGCCGGTACTCCAGGTTCTGTCCTGGTCGTTCCTCTTCCTGTCCAGCTCTCTGCTGTGGCCCGGGAGTGCAGTGGAGGATGGCCCAAGTCCTTAGGCCCTGCACCCGCATGGGAGACCAGGAGGAAGCACCTGGCTCCTGGCTTCGGATGGGCACAGCACACCAGCTGTAGCGGCTATTTGGGGGGTGAACCAACGGAAGGAAGACCTTTCTCTCTGTCTCTCTCTCTCACTGTCTAACTCTGCCTGTCCAAAAACACATATATACATACATATATATACATATACATATATATTAGCATACAATTCCTATCAATTTGCTTGTCAAAGTTTGACACAAACACTGCGTCTGGCATTGAAAATGGAACAGCCAGGAAACCATCTGATTTCTATTAAAGCAACAAAAAAGGAACTTGCCATGTTCAGTTCAGTTTTAACTTCTGAGACGATTTTAATTGTTTTCATATATACAATGCCACAAAGTTCATAAAAATTTCCACACTCTCTGGCAATGTGGACATTACACCTTCCCAGCTGGGCTGAATGGTGTTCAGAAAATTCCCAGGCATTGAATTCACTGCAAGTTTGCTGCCAAGCTCATTCCACGCGTGATGGAGAACACATGAGTGAAATAAGCAAGGAGTGGGGAAAATCACCTGATAAAAAGCTCTGGCGCGCTCAGGGCTCCTCCCAAAATATCACGCACCGTCCACTGCAACTTGTTCTGATGTGTGGTCACCACCCTGTGCCTAAATTACAGTAACAGCGGCCATGCAAGTTAACACTGCCTCTAAACTCGACAGAAAAGGGCAAGCCAGCCACACCTCCACCACTGCCATGTCGTCCACTGGTGCGCTGAGTTCTGCCGTGTGATGCAGCAATTATGGGGTTAATGATAGAAAGAGGGAAATGGTGAAAATATGGAACTGGATTTCTAAAAAAGTACAAAAGCAAGAATGTTAAAGAAACCAGGTAGGGGGCCGGCGCTGTGGTGCAGTGGGTAAAGCTGCCCACATCCCATATTGGTGCCGGTTCTAGTCCTGGCTGCTCCTCTTCCAGTCCAGCTCCCTGCTATGGCCTGGGAAAGCAGCAGAAGATGGCCCAAGTCCCTGGATCCCAGCAAGCATGTGGGAGACCTGGAAGAAGCTCCTGGCTTGGAATCGGTGCAGCTATGGCTATTTGGGCCATCTGGGGAGTGAACCAGTGGATGGAAGACACTATTTCTCTCTCTCTGCCTCTGCCTCTCTGTAGCTCTGCCTTTCAAATACATAAATAAATAAATCTTAAAAAAAAATGAAAAAGAAAAACAGGTGGCTTTCTAAGTCCTGTTTTAAGAGCCCTGGGTCTCAAATTAGAAACATGTTTATATAGGTGACTGACAAAGAGCTTTAAGGTTACAACTGGGGCATGGATGTTTAGTACTGCAGGCAAGGTCCGTCTTGGGACGTCTATGTCCCGTAACAGAGTGCCTGGGTTCGAGTCCTGGCTCCACTCCCAAACCCAGCTTCCTGCTTCTCCATACCTGTGAAGCAGCAAGCAATGGCTCAAATACTTGAGTCCCTGATACCCATGAGGGACATCCAAATTGAGTTCCAGGTTCCTGTCGGTAGCCTGGTCCAGCCCTCTGCTGTTGCAGGCAATTTGGGGAGTAAACAGCAGACGGGAAATCTGTGTCAGGCTCTCTGTCTCTTTCTGATTTTGCATTCAAATAAAAACGAATAATTAAAAAAAATCTAGGGGTATGGGCATTGGCCTGGTGGTGAGGATGCCAGCTATGACGCCCACGTCCCGTATCAGAGTGCCTGACCTTAGACCGAGTTCTGGCTCCCGACTCCACCTTCTTCCTAACACAGACCCCACGAGGCAGTGGTTAACAGCTCAAGGAGCTGGGTTCCTGCAGTTCACATGGGAGACCTGGAGTGAGTTCCTGGCTCCTGGCTTTGGTCCCGGGCCCTCTCAGGCATTTGGGGAGTGAACCAGTAGAAATGGGGGGCTCTTTCTTTATCTCAAATAAATACGATTAAATAAAAAAATTTTTAAACACTAAAGCATGAACCAAGTTCAGGTTTTCCTTTTACTATGGAGGCATCCGTGTACCAAGGCTGCCCACCAGGGTCAGGTCTCTGGCAGGATATTTCATCAGCCGTGAGGACATCTCACTGTCTCCGAGTCAGCTGTTCGGTGGGTGACCCACGCCAGGGAGCTGCCACAGTGATGGCACCCGGTCAGCATTAGATTACTGCTCAGTGTGAGGACAGGCCAGAGGTAAGTGCACTGTGACCTCTCCTCTCGCACTCGTGGTACCCATCTTCTGAGCCAGCGTGAACCCTCTGCACACTCCAACCAAGGAAGTAACAGACAAACAGAGAGGACACGGCCCCTAGAGAGGACGGGTTTCCGCAGCTCTTGCATTGCAAGTGAAATGAATGGATTTCAAGAGGACAGCCTGTCCCCTCACCAACAAAACCACAACAACACATAAGGCCTGGATTAGCAACACAGCAGGGAGAACCAAGGACAGAGCTAGCTGAGCCACGTGGACTTCAGGGTGTGCCATCACCCAGAATTTCATGAAAGCCCAGAGACTTCTATCTAACCAGAACGACTTCTGTGTGTAACAGACCAAAAGTAGAGGCAGAGGCCCAACAGATGACCTCTGAAATACTTTGTGGTTTTAAGATTATATAGGGGCCAGTGCTGTGGCATAGTGGGTAGAGCCGCCATCTGCTGTGCCGGCATCCCATATGGGAGCTGGTTTGAGTTCCACTGCTCCACTTAGAATTCGGCTCTCTGCTATGGCCTGGGAAAGCAGTGGAAGATGACCCAAGTCTTCAAGCCCCTGCACCCACGTGGGAGACCCAGAGGAAGCTCCTGGCTCCTGGCTTCAGATCAGCTCAGTTTCGGCCGTTGCAGCCATTTGGGGAGAGAACCAGCAGATGGAAGACCCCTCTCTCTCTCTCTCTGCCTCTGCCTCTCTATAACTCTTCCTTTCAAATAAATAAATAAATCTCAAAAAAAAAAGGATATTATAATGTTTAAATATTTTATCTATATACAAATTTAAAAACTTACTTTTTTAAAAGATGTATTTATTTGAAAGGCAGAATTGCAGAGACAGGCAGCGAGAGAGCGAGCGAGCGAGTGAAATCTTCCATCCACTGGTTCATTCCTCAAACAGCTACAATGGCCAGGGCTGGGACAGGCAGAAGCCAGGAGCCAGGAGCCTGGAACTTCAGCCGTGTCTCCCACATGGGTGCCAGGACTTGGGCCACCTTCGGCTGCTTTCCCAGGCGCATTAGCAGGGAGCTGGATGAACAGTGGATTAGCTAAGACTTGAACTGGCACCCATATGGGACAGTGGTACTGTGGGCAGAGGCTTAACCCACTGCGCCCCATCAACCTCTTGTACAGTAAGTACTGTGTGTACCCACAGAAGAAGTAGAAGTAAAACCATGCATTTAAATCTATCACTTACAAAATTAAGAAAACCAAGATGGACGGATGCTACAAATATTCTGAAGTCGACAGCACTGTTAGAGGTTACCAAAAGGATTCTGACATTTCTTACCAAAAATTCTCAAAATGAAGATCGTCATTAGCATTCAGTGATTAAAAAAAAATCAATGGAATTACAGTTTTTTCTTCTAAAGCAGGATGAGGACATAAAGTAATTAACGGCCTTCCCTCCCTACCCCCAAGGAATTTCAATTTGCCTTAGGGCTGTGTCTGTGCATCAGAGAGGCAGACGGACAGACAGACATGCGGCCACTCACTTCCGTGTCTCTGAATCTGTCCTCGTAATCCAGTCTGTCCTTCTCCACAGCCGTCAGCTTCAACTTCAAGTTGGAAATTTCCGCCATGAGATCTAACTTCTGAGTCTCCAAGGACGTCCTACTCAGGAGCTCCTGCGAGGACGGAGAGAGCGCGTCAGAGACGCTGGGTCGCGCACGGCCACGGCAGCAGCGGTGCCCTCTACGGTCACAAAGCAGCATCCGCCACACGGAGGACCGAGTGCAATTTCCAAACACACGCACTTCCCAAAGGCCGTGTATGTGAGCGACTCTCCTGCGAGCAGAAGCAAGCGCCCATATCCGTATCCGACAGACAGGCATGCTCACGCTGCAAGCCAGGAAGCCATACAAACGCCAGAAGAACAAAATCACAATTACCCACGAGGCGATCCACACCTGGGTCTGGCTTCTCATGGCGCAGACACGTTGCCTTGTGCCTATGTGTTCGCGGCTCTGAGGCTCCAGGTTTGTGCTGTGTGTACCATGTACCACGGCCGCCTCAGGGCCAAACCCGGCGCGGCCGGCCTCCGGACCTACCTGCTGCAGCATCTCCTCCGTGGCGTTCAGCTTCTCCCTGTGCTCCTCCAGGCAGAACTCCAGGTCTCGAATCTTCTCTCCCTGGGCCTCCACCTGGTCTGTTAGCACACTCACCTGTGTGGAGAGCGAGACAGAGCCATGAGGCGCAAGTCAGATGCCCCTGCCGACTTCATTTCTCTAAGCGGGACCATCGGCGAGACGTCACTGCCAAGTGCAAAGGGAGACGCCCTGAGACCTGACAGGTGACGGTGGTCCTTCCGCCACCTCCGCTATCTCAGGACTCAGAAGTGTTGGCCTGGGGATGCGCAGCAGCCCACAGGTTCAGATCACTGGGAAGGAGGAGAATGCACACAAGGACCCTTTTGGGGTGCGTGTGAAAGGGTAGCATTAGAGGAAATGAACTTCACGTTTGAAACGGGCATTATTCAAGGACTATTCAAATGTGCTCCTTCCTGAACAAGATGGAAACGGACCCAGGGAATTCCAACTCCATGAGCTCTTTCAGAATCCAAGCCAGGGTGCGACTGAGCCGGCCAAGGACGGCTGGGTGAGTCCTTCACCCCCAGTGACTATGCGAATCCCCCAGTCTCTCCTCGGTGGTCACCAGCTTCGTAAACGTACTTGAATTCAGCTCAGAATGCAAAGTAAAAATGTTGGTCAGGCATGTGAAGCATGAAGAAGCAGACTCAGGAACGGGCGTCAGACACAGTGGTTCAAGACGTCGCCCGGGACACTGCATCCCACACCGGAGAGCCTGGTCCAAGTCCCAGCTCCACTTCCAATCCAGCTCCCTGCGACGCAGCAGGGGATGGCTCAAGCACTTGGGTCCCTGCTGCTCTTGTGGGACACCTGCATGGAGTTCAAGGTTCATGGTTTTGGCTTGGCCCGCCCCTGGCTGTTGCAGACATTTGGGGAACAAACCAGTGGATGGAAGATCTCTCTCTCTCTCTCTCTACCTCTTCTCTTAAATAAAATAAAAATGAATAAACAAATAATTTGTTGAAAAAAGAAGCAGCACACTCAAATTTACCCAACAAGCTGGGACCCAGCCATCATCCTGTTTTGTTTGGCTTATGAGCTTCATGAAACAATTGAAAACCCAGGGCTGGCGTTGTGATGCAGTGGATTAAGCTGCCACCTGCAACAGCAGCATCCCATACGGACACCGGTTCAAGTCCCAGCTGTTCCACTTCTGATCGACTCCATGCTAATGTGCCTGGGAAAGCAGTGAAAGATGGCCCAAGGACTTGGGACCCTGTCACCCAAGTGGAGGACCCAGGTGAAGCTCTAGGCTCCTGACTTCAGCCTTGCCCACTCTAGCTTCTGAAGCCTTTTTGGGGAGTGAACCAGGAAATCAAAGATCTCTCTCTCTCTCTCCCCCTCTCTCAAATAAATAAATAAATCTTTAAAAACTGAAAAAAACCAAATTTGCAAATTCAGATTCAGAACTCATCTACAAGTCTTCAAAGAGCTCTTGGAAAAAGATTATGTAACACCTGTACGTGGGTTGCAAAACATTTTTTTGCATAGAAAAATACGTTTGTGTTTTTTTTTTCCTCATGGAGAGGCAGAGAAGGAGACAGAGAGACAGAGCTCCTTCCCACTGTATTACTCCCCCAAAACCCAGAATCCGGGAATACATCCCAGGTCTCCTAGGTGGGTGGCAGGAACTCAATTACTTGAGCAGTTCTCACTGCCTCCCAGGGTGCACATCAGCAGAAAGCTAGAATTGGGAGCCAGACCCAGGACTGAACCCAGACACTCCGATGTGGGACACGGGTATCGTAGCTGGTGTCGTAACTGCTAGGCAAAACACCTGCTCCAACTTACCTTTGAACTCCATTTGCCGTGAACTTTCTGAAGTAACTTGTATAAGTATTCAGATTTGTTTTTACTACAGATATGCATAAACCTGAGTTTCTGCTATGTATTAAAATACATCTTAAGACGAGATCAAATGAGCTCAGATGGTACTGTTGTCTGTGTGCAGATGGCACCAGGAGAGCTGAGGCTGGGTACAGGCCACTTCCTCCAGCCTGGTGAACTCAGGCTGGTTCTGCCCCAGGCCTCACCACTCCCCATTGTGCACCACTTCATGTGCAAGTGAATTTGCCAGCCCAACATACAATAGTCTTTGCAAGTACGTCCTGGGGAAAGTGTGATGTTGGAAAGTCACTTGCCTGGAGAACGAGCGACTCTTTATCATTTTCCAAGCGTGCTAGCCTCTCCTGATACACGTCTCCGTTCCCAGGGAGGTGTCCGTTCGTCTGAAAGAGGAAACGACATGGGTGAGGTGGACCCTCTGCAGACCTGGTGCTTGGTGGGGAATCATCCTCCAAGAGCCTGCACTGAATTCAGCCCAGCTGTCGCTGGCATGAATGGAAAATTTAAGAATGCAATTTGGCTCATTCATCTCACAAGAGGGAGTAAAACAGGCACATTCAGCATTGGCATTGCTTTTGCTAAACTCAACAAAGTCTCATCGAGGAGGAAATCATGACCCGAAAGGCACAAGGGGAGCTGAGGGTCCTGGTAGACGGCAGACGCACCTGGGGCAGGCGAAGCTTTGGAGCGTGCAATCGGGCGCAACACCTGCCTCTCCCTAACTGCTCAGCGTCACTGACTCTGGTGGTAGATGGCGGTGATGACCTGGGACACCATTCCGTTCCCATCACCCCCACTGTCAAGTTCCACGCCCGGGACTGCCAATGCCTGACTGTGGGTGGCAGAAAGCAGGAGCGAACTACACCCCACGCTTCTTCCTACTCACTCAAGTCTCCAGAGCATGGACGAATCTTTGAAGCCTTGAGTCTTTGGAAATTTCCTCTCTTTTCCCCCCAAACTGACACACTCAGTCCACGGCAGCTTCCTCCAGTCGCACCGCCTAGCCATGCTTATTAAGCTCATCTGCCTTGGCCTCATCGGTGCCTTGATTTATGCAACGTCCTGTTCAGCTCCTGGGCACAGCCTGCAGACCGGCATCATCTTCTAATCTCCACTGCTGCTCACTCCCTCCCACCTCCCTCCTGTCTCCTTTTCATGAGACTTGGAAATACGGAAGCATGCGATAAATGCATTGAAAAATGAAGCACAGCCCCCCTTCTGTTCTCTTACAAGAAGCTATAAAAGAGATATTTGAAAAGGCTCAGGCTCAAGCACTCACTGGATGCAGCAGTTAAGATGCCCACATCCTGAACCAAAGTGCCTGGGTTTTGCCCAAGTTTAAGTCCTGGCTCTGATTTTCATCCAGCTTCCTGCTATTGGGCACCCTGGGCAGCAGCAGGTAATGGCTCAGGTCCCTGGGTCCCTGCCATCCGTGTGGGAAACCCAGATGGAGTCCCTGGTTTCTGCTTTGGCCCAGCCCTAGCTGTTGTAAGCATCTAGGGAATGAACCAATGGATTAACACACACACTCTGTCTCTCTCCTCCCCACTTCAAATAAAATGAAAATAAATACAACTTTTAAGAGAGGGCCAGTGTTGTGGTAGAGCAGGTAAAAATGCCAGTTCATGTTCTGGCTGCTTCCCTTCCGATCCAGCTCCCCTCCTAATGGCCTGGGAAGGCAGTGGAAGACGGCCCAAGTGTTTGGGCCCCTGCACCCATGTTGGAGCCCTGGAAGAAGCTCCTGGCTCTTGGTTTTGGGGCAGTTCAGCCCTGGTCACTGTGACCGTCTGAGGAGTGAACCAGCCGATGGAAGATCTTTGTTTCTCTGTCTCTTTCTCCCTCTCTCTCTGTTAACTCTGACTTCCAAATAAATAAATAGGTCTTTTCTAAAAAGAAAAGAATAAAGTTCTAAAAGAAAAGGTTTAGACAAAGCAGAAAATAAAATACCATTTTGAAATACAGTAATATATATTATATGTCTCTGTGTGTGTGTGTGTAACTCTGACTTTCAAATAAATAAATAAATCTTAAAAAAATGTTCTAGGGCAACTCATTCAGTTAGACCTACAGCAAACAGCAATCACCTGCTCGGCTCCAGCCGTCAGACATAGTCTTCGATCTGTTCTCCTAAATCTGCAGCTTGATGGAACACACCCTGGTTCATCACCTGTGCCAACATGTAACACTCCACAATCAAAAGAGAATTGTTGCCTCACCCACTGAGCACACCACACGGCTTTTTAACTACAGGAGACAATTTTGCTGTCTTAAAAAGAAATGTGTCCCCTTCTAGAAGCCTACAGCTATTGCTACACCATTAAAATAAGTTCATTCACCTGTACCAGGCTACTGGTGTTTCTATTTTCTTTTCTCCTATATCCAGCCTCCAATCATATGAGAGAATTAAATAAGCAGCAACAATTAGTACCAAAGAGATGACCTGCCTCCGACAGGAAACCAGGGGGTCTCCCTGGCCTGGGCGTAGTACTAATCGCCCTGCAGACGCCCAGGTGAACTAATGAAAGGTTCGGGGCCAGTCCTAACGTAGGGGGACTCCCAGGTTGGCCATCACTAGACAGGAATAAAATGCTCTTTACGTGACTGCTACCTTAATAAGTCTGCCTAACATTTAACAGAAGCTTCCCTGTAGCTTGAGAAACACCTGCTTCTATCACAAGAGGTGCACTAGGGGGGTTAAGTCACCATCTGAGCTGTGGGCATCCCCTGTCAGAGCACCAGGGAAAGCAGCCGAAGACGGGCCAAGTGCTTGGGCCCCTGCACCCATGTGGGAGACCTGGACGAAATTCCAGGCTCCTGGCTGTGGCTTGGCCCAGTGCTGGCTGTGGCAGCCATTTGGGGAGTGAACTAGTGCATGGCAGATCTCTCTCTGTCTCTCCCTAACTCTGCCTTTCACGTTAGGGAAAAAAAATTTAAAAAGTAACGCTTTAAAGAAAAAAAAAGAAAAAGAAGTGACCCATGTATGGGTCATTTGTAACCTGAGTCCACTTGTAACTGGACCTGCCTCCCCGCCCCCAGAAGGGGTCCTGTGGAACCTCCCCCTCTTCTCCCTACTGCGGGTGTCACCTCTGTGCAGAGCCAGCTGTCAGGCTCAGCACGGGCACTCAGCACACACTGGCCCGGTGGCGCTCCACAATGCTGGGTGGCACAAAACACTCCCCTTTTATGGATGAGGAAACTGAGCTTAAGAAACTCTCCCAGATGCGTACAGGCTGCTCGGGGTTACAGCCAACAACAACATTCAGCTCCGCTGCCTCCCAAGCCCACGTTCGCAATCCCCAAGACAGAATCCGGCCTCCTTCCTCACTCGCCGCTTTGGTTATACCAGGGGCTCCCTTCATTTGTTATTAGGGCAGTTCCTCCCAAGAGGGGATTCGCCAGGATCCTGTGTTCCGCAGCTGAGAGGCACCATCCGTTTACATCACACCATGAATTCTACTTGTGAGCGTGCCCTTCAGTGGTGTGGGCTACCTCCGTGCTGTTCTGCCACCTTCACCAACGTCCATCTAAAGAACTCCTTCCATCTTGCAAAACTGTAAGCCTCTGTAGGAGGATCTCCCCCTCTCCCTCCCCCTCGGCCCCCTGCAATCCCCACTCTCACTGCTGTGCCTCGACTTCAACTAGCCCAGGTACCTTATTAACAAAAGCAAACAGAGCAGAGGGGAGGGCGAACGATGAAGTGGAACAACAGGCGCGATGTGTTGTCAAAAATGAGCTATTTTCCACTGTCTGGGCTGTGCAGCTGCCCCTCCATCAGAGGACAGCTGGACCATCTGCACCTGGAGATGGAGCCCGAGCACATTCGGCACAGGGCGGACTGGTGGCAGAGGAACACTTGTGTCACACAGTGAACTGGTGGCAGAGGTACACTTGTGTCCATCGCCTGAGGACGTTTGGGCTGTAGAATCTGCTGTTCAGGTCCCCAGAGCAAGAAGCTTCCACTGCCAGCCCAGATCCAAGACTACATCTTGATTTCTTCATGTGATTTTCACCAAAGCACAATGAACAATGAAACGTCCTAACGTCCCGCACTGAAAACTGAGTAGCTTTTCAATGCAAACATCACCTCTCCTACCTTCTTGGATTGTGCCTTTTTGAGGTGCTCTAGACCATGCGTGTCCACCGTCTGTCAAGTCCACGTCTTCCCCAGTGTGCCCTGGGGAACAGCAGCTCTGCTCCGCCACTGGGTTTTGAAAAGGAGCTGGAAAGAAGCCTCTGCCCGAGGACAAGAGAACTCCATTCGCAGATCAAGTCCACAACTCGGCTCCAGGGCCAGAAGGAAAGTGATCGCCACTCACCACCAGGTGGCGCTTCACACCGACCACAGCAGGTCGGGAGGCTTCTGGGCTCTGACAAGTGTCACCCACCCGGCTTCCTGCCTGGGGTCCTTGAAAGTGAACTGAGGAGGCATCCATGATGTGCAAGGCTCTGCCCCTTACAGACCCGTCAGCTGTCGGGCACAATCCAAAGGCCAGGCCAGGTGCCTGGGAACAATCAGGAGACCTGTCCACACTCGTAACTAGACAGTAACAGGCCTGCCGAGAAAGCTGTCCTTGGGGAACCGGAGGCTGTCATGTTCCGTCAAACAGTTGAGACGCACATAGATAAACACTGCACGTTCTCTCCCAACTGTGAAAGCGAAAACGGCTCATCTCATAGGAGCTAATTTGATCATAATACACTGTCTGTATTATCAAATTAACATAACTATCCCATTCCCATAAATAAGTATTAAGTGCCGGTATTTTCCAAAGTTATCTTTAAGTGAGAAGGGAACTGGGACCTCTTAGGGGTTGAAAATGGAGCAAACCTGTGGCCCCATCATTTTTCTCCCAGCTCTAATCGGCTACTTCTGTGATCTCAATTCTGGAATAAGCCACGGACGACTCAGAGCCCAGAGCGTACGGCGCAGACACCCACCAGGTGGCTCTGCAGCCAAGCGACCAGCGTCTCCGCCGTGGAGTCCGGGACCTGGCACCTGAGGCCTTCCTTCTCATCCGTCTCCATCACCTCCAGCAGCCCACGCAGGTCCTCCACGAGGTGCAGCGCGCGCAGGCTCCCCATGAACGGAGACGTGGGAGACTGGCAATCAAAGAGCCCATTGGAATACTCCAGCGCCTTAGAACCTGGGGGAGGAACAGGAGGCAGGAAATCAGTGCAGCCGCACTGGGGAATGACTAGGGCAGGGGAGAGGCAAACCCCTTCAAGCCTCCGCACTCTGCGAGGCAGATACCAAATACCAAGGGTCCAGCACCTGGCAAGGAGGCCAGTGTGTGGTCAAGGGACAGCCCGGTGGCCTTTGCGCGTGGTGGCCCAGGCTCATGGAGATGAGAGTTAGCAGGTGGCAGACTGAGTTCAGGCTCAGAGACCCCAGAGCCATCAAAGTCCCCAACAGGGAGTGATACAGTGACATGGAAACCACGCAGCACACTCCCGAAGGTGACAGGGCCAGCTTGCAGTTAATGTAGCAAGAGTTAACTGTGACGTTCACCACGTCGTACGTGTGCCTTTTCAAATTTACGTGTGAGATGAGAGCCCAGAGAGAATGTACACTGAGCAGAGCGAGTGAGGAGGAAGGAAGGAGGAGCAGACGGGCCGGCCCACCCCAGCCCAGCAATGTTCCCGGAGGGCCCCCTGCCGACACTGTCACGGGTCCACGTGGCACTGACGGCCCTCCATGGTTAAGCCCACCAAAGAAGGGGGCTAGGGGGCAGCTGCACGCTTAGAGAAAGCCCCCAAGTATTTGTAGTCATTTCTCCTCTTCTCCCTCGGAACTCCACTGGAAAATGACTGGTGTTGATTTAAAAACATATATACTCAGGCCCCGCCCACCCGCCACACTTCTGAATGACTGAGCTTGACGGGGACCTGCTGAGTCTTGTAATTGTTGTCAGTACTTCCATGGGTGGTCCTGACGGCTTCACTGGGGATAGGGCATACACCCATCCAGGGAAATGCATGTGATGTGAAATATTTTTTCCCAGCAATATCAGTCCACTCCACTAGAGTCTAAGCACGTAAGCTTACAACCCCAGCAAGAGCCTCTCAGGACGGGCTCGCGGTACACCTGCCGACACGACGGCAGATGAAGTCGTGTCTTGTTTCCCCACGTCACAGTCCGTCAGCAGCTAGGAACCACACACCGTGCCTCCAACAAGAGACGCTTTTCCAAATGAAACCTGACCGGCCCCTTCCCAGATTCGGGTGCTGGAACTCTGTGTTTGTGTCCCCGCCCTCCGGACGAGACTTAGCTCGGCGACAAGGCTTTGGAGATGACAGCCGCAGAAATGCACAGTGCTTGTCTGCCAAGGAGGCCTCACTGCAGAGGCATCCAATTGTCACACAGGAAGCCCAACTACGGCCACCGCCTGCAGGACAGGAAGATACCTACAGGCGTCCTGGAGCCACTGCAGGATGGACACAGTGGGGCCAAACTGCCGACCAGAACAGCAAAGCAGCTGGGCCAGGACAACGGGCGCCCAGGAGTGGTGCGCCCAGCTGTACCCCCGTCTTCTGGTGGGTGCCGATCCTGCCAAATACCCCACGTTCAACTCCGTTCTCATTACAATGGGTTCCTGACTACCTAACAGGACTTCTCTGGAGATTAAACACTGCCCTGAGCCCTGAGAAGGCAGTCATCAGCGCCCCCTAGGGGCCCCAGGGGACATGCAGGGCTCATGAACCCACCCCAGACGTGCAGGTCTGCTCAGTGGCTCTGCTCAGCCCTCAGCACAGGGCACAGCCGGCCAGCGGGTCACCGCCAGGGAGCGCCAGCGTGAGCTCCCCGAGTTAGGGAGGCGACTGCAGGGGTCCAGGGACGGAGCGGCTGCAGTGGGAAAGCAAGGGTGCCCAGGATGCCGCAAGGCACCGGTGGCCCCGGCAGAACAGGCTGCAGAGAAGACAAAGGGGAGGGCAGAGGCTGGCAAGAAGTGGGTCTCACAGAACCTGATATGCTAAGGGGGAGAGCATCTGGAACGACAGAATGACTCACGCTGCGGGCTTCGGGAACTGGGGATAGGGGAGGGGGGAGGGGTATGAAGCAAACCCAGACCACTAGAGGGTTTTTAGAGGGGAGTTTAAAAATGCTGACAGCACGACGCTGACGTGGCCTGCAGCAGGGTGTCAGTGGAGAGACATGGCTGGTGGCTGGAGGGAGCGACTTACACCTTAGTAAGAATGGGGAAAGTAAATATGAGGGCGCTTCCCAAAGCTCCTGGAAAAACACGCTGAAAAGTTGTCAGTTTATTTTGGTGCAAATGTTTTCTTAAAATATTTCATAACATGCTGGAAATGCATTGTTATGAAAAAAAAACTATGCATTTTAGATGATACCAAAGTATGCGGAATTCAAGAAAATGCTCAGGGATGTGGGGGTGGAGTGGGGTCCCTCAAAGTCTGGGCCACAAACCACCAACACCAGAATTGCTTCGGATGCAGATTTTTTTTCTCCTTGACCAAAAACCTAAGACGCAACGGAAATTTCCGAGATTTTAAAAATGAAGTCTGAGAATAATTCTGGTGGGAACAAAAAATCAAGGAACACATCTGAAACCACGCGGAACCTATCTAAAGGCACTGGAGATCGTCAACGAATGAAAAATAAGAAAGGGACAAGATGTGAAGAGCTGCAGGGAGATCCCCAGAGCGGAGTAACCGTCAGGACCCCGTGTCTCGGAGGGGACAGACGACCTGCTATGATGCCATCCATCTGCTCCAGCGCCGCCGCCAACATGTCACTTGCGTCACTCATCATTTTCTTGGGCGTCAAGGGCAAATTCCACCCGAGATCTGAAAAAGAGAATGGTGGTGTCATTACATCCTTTAAATGATGCAGGCTGCCTAGTGGGTTTGCTAATGCAACTTCAAATTATAACTCTTTTTAGCACTGAAACTCGGAGTGAGAATTTTGTAGGCAGTGGAGCTGAATTAAGGGAGTCATTTACTAAGCTGCAGCAGATCCACTGAGCAGGTAGCCGGCATCACGTGCTGTACCTGTATGAGTTAATCAAAGCACACGCAGCTACTGCTCTCCCGGGTGTTTAAAATCCAGGAAAATGTTTTCCACGCTATACTTTAAAAAAAAAAAAAATAGAGAGACAGACAGACAGATCTCCCAACAGCTGGTTCACTCCCCAAATGCCAGCAACAGGGGACTGGGCCAGGACTAAATTTAGCACCTGGGAACTCTATGCTGGTCTCCCACATGGGCGGCAGGGACCCAAGTACTTCAGTCACCACTGCTGCCTCCCAGGGGCTGCATGAGCAGGAAGCTGGGGTCAGGAGCAGGCGTGGGAACAGGTCCCAGGCATTTGGGTGAGGGACTCGTGGAGCTCGGGGACTCTGCATGGCCTGCAGACGGCCCTGAGCAGTGCTGGGGGGACAACACCTCCTTTTCTCTGCACCTGCTCCACTCAGTCTCTAATCTTAATTTTGCTTTTCCCCACTCTCTACATGAAGATTTAGTTCAATATCACACACAGTCTGGACTGGTTTCAGGACCACTCCCGCGGATAGCAAAATCTACAGATGCTCACTCACTCCCTTCCATAAAATGGCAGAGTATTTGCACATAACCCATCAAGTTCTCTTACCTACTGTAAGTCATCTCTAGGGGCCTGGCGCTGTGGTACAGCGGGCTAAGCCTCCACCTGTGCTTTCAGCATCCCATATGGGATTCAGGCTGCTCCTCTTCTGATCCAGCTCTCTGCTAATGGCCTAAGAAAGCAGTGGAAGATGGTCCAAGTGCTTGGGCCAATGCACCCACGTGGGAGACCCAGAAGAAGCTCCTGGCTTCAGATCAGCCCAGCAGATAGAAGACCTTTTTCTGTGTCTCTCCCTCTGTCTAACTCTGCTTCTCAAATGAACAAATAAAATCTTTGAAAAAATCATCTCTAGATTACTATGAAACCTAACTCCAAGTGCATGCTCTGTAAGCAACTGTTAGTGGCGACACCATCTCAGAGCACCAGTTCAAGTCTGGGCTGCTCCATTCCTGATCCAGATTCTTGATAATGTACCTGGGAAGGCAGCAGAAGACAGCCCAGGTGCTTGGGCCTCTGCCACCCCTGGGAGCGCGACCCGGATGGAGTTACAGGCTCCTGGCTTCTGCCTGGCCCAGTCCTGGCTGTCAATGTGGGCATTTGGGAAGTGAACCAGCAGACTGAATCTCCCTCCCTCCCTGTCACTCTGTCTTTCAAATGAATGAATGAACCTATGGGAAACAAGGACTAGAAAAAGTCTACATATGTTCAGCACAGACACAGCTCTTTTTCCTAATGCTTTTTGTTCAGGGGTTGGTTTGGTTTGCAGATACAAAGGGGTTGACACACAACCCCAAACCCCCACTCCCACACCCCCACACTCTCACCTCCTGGTATTCTACACTGTAATAACAGCATCATGTACTGAACTATCAGGAAGTGATCGCTATAGATTTACATAAATTACCCATGATCCTTCATCACAATACCACCTCCATAAAATGGAGCCAACTCAATTCATTTCATAAATAAGGACCGAAGCACGGCAAGTCAATCCAGCAATGACCAGTGTTTAACCCAGGTCTACCCAACTTCTACTCTAAGAGTGAATTTCTGTCTACCTGGTCCTTTCGCAAGGGAAGCTTTCTGTTGAAACTGTCTCACAATCTACTTATGGTTTGACCTGCTATAAATATACTGAAATTGTGCTTGCAAAAAATTTGATCATTCACAGGACAAAGTCAAGATGATGGGACTTTTCAACATCAATCAATCCACGCATTCCAGGCATGAGGCTAAGTCTCCACGCAGCCTCCCGACAGGCCCGAGTGAGGCAGTTACTACTCGTTAGACTGTGCGACAGAGCAGACACCTGGGAAGTGGAGGGCAGCTGCCCGGCAGAAACCTTTGTTCTCTGTTTCCAAGCAGCCAGAGCTCACTCCTCCACTTTATTGTCACAAATACATTTATAGCTCTGGTATCAGCTTCTTGGATCAGTTCTCCACTGCACACCCATTCTAATAAAATACCATAGACACTGCTGTGAAATGCTACTTTTTCTTTAAATGACAGCTTATAGGAAGAGCAAGCACGTAGCTAATGTGCGAAACATTTCAAAAATAAGTCTATCCTTGGATTTGACAGTTTTGCCTAAAGACTTCTTAGGACTTTATTCACTTCAGAAGGTGCAACATGTCACCACCACTTCACGTGGAAATTCTACCACACAGAAATACTCAAGCCAACACTGTCACCCCAAAACCAAGCTGTCACCAGCTGAGTCAGGAACCTCACTCACACCTCAGTGCACACTCAGAGAGGCGGGGCACTGACGTCACCACCGCACTTCAGGTTGGAAAAGTCAAAACGTCAAAGCTGAGAGCACAAAGGAGTAAGCAGGAAGTGTGCAGGCCCCAAATTTATATAATTCAGTGGCCTGCGTTCTCTCTCATTTCCAAAGTAGTGTTCACAGAGGGGTCTTCAAAAATTTATGCAAAAAGGCGTATTACAAAAAATTACAGATTTTAAAATTTTCTGTGCACAAATTTACCTTTTAATCTGACTTTCCAAGACCTCTCTGAAATCCTCTCATACACATTCACACACAAGTAGACATAAAACAGAGACAGCGGCCACGCTCAGCCGTAACACGGGACTACCAACACAACACAGTGATTCCCACACACGATCGGCTGCTCACTGACTCAGAGAAAGAAATGGGTGTCCCTGTTAGCAGCTGTATTTTGTGTAGAACATGCACGTTTGTTAAGTGTGACAGGTGTCATTTCCTTCTTTGGGGTACTTTCAACAAGGCGTTCAAGGGCTGTGACATGGAGGCCTGAGACGGTTGATATCATGCTCGTTCCAGTGGTACAGAATCCATTTAAAAAAAAAAACAAAACAAACAAACAGTGGTACTGGGGAGGGAGGCACCTGTGGCCCGGCAGGTTAAGCCACGGCTTAGGATGCCCACATCCCATACTGGAGCGCCTGTTTGACTCTTGGCTACTCTGCTTCTGATCCAGCTTCCCACTAACGGGCATTCTAGAAAACAGCAGATGAAGGTCCAAGTATTTGGGCCCCTGCTGCCCACCTGGGAGGCCCAGATGGAGTCCCAGGCTCCTGGTTTCAGCCTGGCCCAGCCATGGCTGTTACAGAGGTTTGGAGAGTGAACCAGTGGATGGAAGATCTCACTGTGTCTCTCCCTCTCTCTCCCTCTAACTCTGCCTTTCAAATAAATATTTTAAAAAAATGTTTTCAGTTTATTTGAGACAATCCTTTGTTTGCTATAATAACAATAGGACAATGTTAAATTTCTGTAAAAGTTTGTAGGTACATTCTCCCAATCTCTGTATTTATCCTGTGGAGGCCTACATGTAATAGTAAAGGGAAGACAGTGAAAACTAAGTAGGAATTGTACACATGACAGGCAAAGGTGGTGAGTGCTAAGGGTGAAGATGGAGGATGACAAAGGGCACAGCTCAGAGGTGCTCCAAAATTAAACGGCTGGTCAGGAGTCAAAGGGCTCTCTAATGATTTACATCTGGGTGGTCTAGGGCAGTGGTATGACAGGTGTAGAGGTGTAGAAGTCCCACAAATCCAGAAAACAACAAGAGCGATGAGGACATGAACACACACTTAACAGAAAAGCAAGTACTTTCAACCAATGAAAATGAGGGCATCTCAAATATTTTGTGCAATTAAAAAATTTTGTGCGATTAAAAGATAAATTTTGGTACAAAAAGTTTTGAAATCCATGTATAACTTTTTCATAACACATAGTTTCCATAAACTTTTGAAGATCCTTTGTATCTATGGTTTCAGAATTTTGTAGGATTGTAAAAAGAGACTAAAGCAATATATGTATTATATATGTAATGTAGGAGTATATACTTATTTGGTTTATATATTAATTATGTATCTAAACTTTTACTTATCTTTATTCATTTTGTTTGAGAGAGAAAGAAAGATCATCCCCATCTGGTAGTTCACTCCCCAGACACCTGCAAACACCTAGGGTGGGCTGGGCTGCGGCTGGGCTGGGGCTGGGAGCCAGGAACTCATTCCATGTCACCTCCGTGGGTGGCAGGAGCCCAACCACCTACACCATCATCACTGCCTCACCGATCCGCACTGACAGGAAGCTGGAATCGGAAGCAGAGCCAAGCCTTGAACCCAGGAACTCCACTACAGGCTGCAGCAGTCCCAACTAGTGACTTTCACAACTAGACAAACGTCGCCCCCACTGTAAATACATATTGACTACTTACACTCGTGTATTTTCTGGAAATACAAACAGCTTCAATATAACTATACAAGAAGAAAAAAAGGGCATAACCACGACCAAGTCTTTCATTTAGGTGATAGACTCAGAAACGCTTCGTGTTCCATTACTAAAAATAACAAAACAAGATGTTCAGCACTAGTAACAGTAGACCAGATTCTACTGGAAACTGTCGTGCAAACGGTGATACAAAATGCTGAATAAAATATAAAAGCATTTTTTTGAAGAACACTAGAGGGCAACTAAAACCAGGAGGAAACCATTGGGAAATCAACTGTTGAGAAAAGGGGGCCACGGTGGGTAAGACTGATAGCTATACAGCTTGCACTGGCGGGCTCCCCAAATCCTTGTGATGCAGAGTACAAAGTCTCTAAGTCACTAAACTGTGCTCTTACTAAGGACTAAAAGAAGTAAAATTCTTACATTATACACAAAGATATTTAAAACCAACTCAGGGTAGACTGTGATAAGAATATATACTGTAATCCACTAAAACTATAAAGATACGCAAATAGCCAGCTGAG